TCGGAATTGTTAGTTTTGGTCATGCTTTGCTTTTTTTCCCCACACTATTTCAACAGTGCTGTTACAGACAGCGTGCTACCTTCATGTTACAGCATCAAAAGCAAAGATCACAGGGAACCTCTACTGACAAGCTGGTAAAATGCAAAATGCAAAGTAAAAAACCCCAAAATTCCGAAGTTAACTAAAAAAAAATTAAAATCTGTAAAAAAAACATTTTGCCATAAAGTATTGTAGGAATGTTTGGATTTTTGTTTTGTTTTTAGAAGACTTTCCCGACCAGCTCCCTGCTACTTTTAAGCCTGTAAAATCATAAGCATCGTAACAAGTCTGGAGGCCAGCACACTCCACCCACGTGAGCATGAAGCACAGCCCGCTCCAAGAGATCGGAGCTGAGCCTGTGACATGCCTGCTCCCACACCTGCAAGGCAGAAGAGCAAGTGAAGGATGGGGATGCCAGGGACACATGGCTAAGGGAAAATATCCAAATGCATGTGGCAAAACTTACTATGGACTGGAGACATGTGCGGTAGGCTCTGCATCGTGGAGCTAACACGCCTAAACGCCAGCCCTGCGTCTCTCACTGTGACTCCCATCAGAATTCGTCCCCTACAATCTCAAGGGCTCTTTAGGAGGTGGAAGTAGGGGTCAGAGGGGATGGTGGAAATTAGTAACTGCCCCAGCTGTACGAACCTCTTTTTTTACAAGGCTCTACAGCAGGAGGGGGAATAAACAAAGGCAATCCTTGCAGCAACAGCGCATCAGCATGTGAATGTGAATACAGTTTTCAGCAGAAGGAAGAGAAGTTGGTGTAGGAGAGGCTTAGTGACAGCAGCCGGCTTAAGAGAGTGACAGCTTGGGCTTAGATAGGGGAGTGGTGGGACCTAGCATTCACTCTGCACTTCCCAAGTTGTTTCTTTGGTTGCTGAAGGTATCTTCCAAACCCTCCTCCCAAGCTGGTGCAAACATAAGCCACTGAGACACAAGGGAGTGAAGTCTGCTACCGCACACCGAAAAACAGCATCCATATTAAAGGACACGCAAGGGATCCCTCAAAGTCAGGGCAGCACAGGATATTCTCTCTACTTGCCTGGACTCATTCCCAGAGTAATCTCTGGAGCTGCTCCAAGAAAGCTTTTAAGTTGTTGGAAACTGCAGGGCTGGCACCCCCAAGTGGTTACTCTGAGCTCTTCGTGCAGCCTGAACAGCTTCTCTCAAGTCTCATCAATAGTTCATCCACCAATAACCAAAGTGCATCGTCCCCAGCACGCAGGGATTTCAGAGCTCCCCCAACACCATGGCAGAGTACAGCCCTCTGGTACAGCTGAGGATTCAGCTCTGACTCCCACTGCAGAGGGGCTGAAGCCAATTCGGACATAGATTTTCCAGTGATCTCTTCAGATTTCATTTTGCAACAGGAAGGAATCCCTACGAGACCTTTCCCTCACAGAGAAAAACCAGGTGTTACAAAACCTTCCTGCAGCCAGCAATATTTCTTATGTACATAGGGTTAATCCCACAGACTGACGGAGGCCAAGTAAAACTGCCAATGGTTTTTGGTGCAGTCCTGCACCATTGCATGCAGCCTGGAGGCTTTCTATCTAGTAAGCTTGGTGCCCTTCATAAATAGCATATCTTTCAGGAATGGCTCTCCCCTCCCGCTTTTAAGTTATGGCTAGGAAAACGTGACCACCAGTACAGGATAAACTTACAACATCTGCGAAGTTGCATAGCTACTCACAGACACAGAGTACCTCTTACCACTGCCAAGCAGCAAACGAAACCAAACGTTGAGCCCACTTTGCTTATCCCAGTAAGGAGTGAACACAGAAATGAAGAAGTACTTAAATGTCAGCGGGTTCGGTTGCTGACCCCCAGGGATTTCACTCTGCCACATGTCGGAGTCACGCCACGGATCACGAAGACGCATGAGCCACCACGGACAAAAGGCTCATTCAGAGCTCCAGTGTTGCATCTGCTGCTGCGTTTAAAAGGAGGAGGGAAGGAGTCACAGTCTGAAGCGTTAGAAATATTTAAACTGCATATGAGGGGAATCAAACTATGAATGACTCTTGCCCCGTACAACATAACGGCACTGGCGGCACAGGGACACGCTGCAGTTGTGCAAACACTTGAGAGCAGAACACAACTTTGGGATGTGAAGGGAGGAGCGCAGAGGCGTGCGTGCCAGCCAGATGGCACCCTGAGCAAGGGTCTTGGCAGCTATTTCAGAAGAGACAAAAAGCAGATGTTTCACAAAAGCTCACTTTCCAGGTTTATTAAGTAAAGTTAACTGAATTGTTTTCATTTTGTGGGGATTCCTTTCCGTCTAACCCGGTGGGTTAGCAGAGTTGCACAGAATCACGGTTGGACTGTGATAACCCAAATACAACTTTGGCTCATCTCACCGCTGACACATATGGAATGACTTGGGGGTTATTACATGCTGTGTCTGCTTGAGGCAGGTACATGTACAGATCAGCACAAGTTGCAAATGATAGTTTACATCCTTTCAAAACAGAGCAGGGCATTCAGCAAATGCACTGCCAATGAGAAGACATATGAAAGAAATTATACAGACTTGCAAATACATAAGAAGTTCAAGAGATGCAAGAAACCTCAAACACAAGAAATGTCAAGGGGGGAAAAAAACACTTAATTTCAGACACAATGTGTTCAAATGAAAACCCAGCTGTAATTTCAATTCCCTTCAAAATGGGAAACTTACAGTAACGCAATTAAAGAGAAACCAGGTCTCATCCTGGGAGAGATGTGTCCAAAAACACTGATGCACAAACAGGTTCAGAGTTCTAAGCAAAATGTCCCTGGGCATTGGTGTACTTGACTCTTGGAGCCAGAGCAAAGCAATTCATTACACTTGCTGGACTGCTGGGCCTACTGCTGGGTCTTGGTGGTGTAACAGCACATAGGATTCCAGATGTCAGAGAAAGGCAGCACACAAACTGCTGGTTAGTGGGAGAAATGCCACGGGCCAGATCTCCCAGGGATTGACTAGAGTAAGGACACCTAATTCTGGTAGCCTGGCCTCCGCTGCACACAACATTAGTGTAATGTTCTGCAAGGTTCTTCAGTTCTTAGCTCACTCCTTTCTCAGCCTGAGTTGTTTCTGTCTTGTGCATGAGCACAACTGGCCGTGCAAAATGATCCAAAAAACATAAGGGACAGGACCAAAGAAAACTGGCTGAACCTGGGGCTGGCTTTCAGCTCCTATTTCCAATATCAGTTAAAGGTTGGAAATTTATCTACAAAAGAAATAATATAAATGAAATAAAAAATGGCACCGTCCACAAAATTAAAAAAAAAAAAAAATCTTACAACACAGCCTCGTAAAAACAGCTTTGCAACGAGAGCTCAGTCACAAAATGAAGGGTTCTAGCTCTTCGTACATCAGAAGAGGAAACAAAGCTAAAAAGTACTAGTCCACATTCTCTTAATAAGTTAAACTTACTTTCCCTCCCCCTGTCTACAAAAGGGGTAAAAGCAAAGGGGAAAAGAGGCTACCAAAAATTAAAAAAAAAAAAAAAGAAAAAGAAAAAGAAAAAGAAAGAAAAAAAAAAGAAAGGAGAGAGAAGGAGAGAACGCGCGCGAGAGAGAGAGAGCAGTCTGTGGTCAGAGGCTCAGAGCAGGGCTGAGTTCCTTTTAAGGGTTTAAAAGATGCAAAACAGTTCCTCAAAAGTTCCCTCTCTTCAACAGTTAGTTCAATGCTGTAGCCATAGAAACTCAAGTATATATTGGAGGAGAGATTCTTTCAGGCAGATCCACCGTCATCCGCAGAGCTGCTCAGCGTGTGTTAATCCTCAATGATTATGGGTTCATCATTCATGGGCTGGCGTAGCTGCACTGCCTGGATGGGCCGGAGGATAATAGGCTTGTAAGGGCGTCTGGCGGCTCGCTTGGCTTCGGAGGAGGAAAGCAGCTTGCGGATTTTCCTGCAGACAGTAAGGAAGACAGGAACCGATTACAGAGACCGGACGCTAAAGCATTGTAGGTTTCTTAATTTCTCCAGGTGAAACCAGGCCTGCACATGTAGAGGCTGCTCACTAACAGGATGGGCTGACACTGTTTATTTCAGCAATATCTTCCCCAGGGAACTTTTGTTTTCTGATTTATAAACCCACCAATGAAGAGGAAATTGCATTCTCTGTTCCAGAATCCTTCCCCTGCAGAGCAGAAGGCATTCTGGTCCAGCCTCGTAGGACCAGGGTCTACTGCTGTAAATATAACATGTGAAATAGTTATGACAGCCAGTTTCCATACCACTAATTTATTTTGATGCACGCAGACACATCGGTTGGACATGCTGCAGGCAGTTTTGTGGGAATTTACAAAGCCAAGTTACATTCAAACCTCTTCTGGTAATGTTGGTCACTTCCCCGCCTGTTAATCCATCTCTCACAGAGCTCTCTGACATTCCCCAGCCCCAAGCAGGTGCACACAGCTGCCTCTTCAAAAGAAACCTGTCACAGCACAAGCCAGCAACATTTGGTCTCCCATGGAGCTATGCCTCAAGGCTGAGCTGCTGCAGCTCCATAACAGCCAGTAACCAGCGAACCAACGCTGGAGCCTTCCCCCCTCCACTGGGAACACTAACAGGGCGTCTCCCCCTCTTATTTCTCCTACACTGCATGTACCCAACCTAATATTACCTAGAAACGGGTAATATTCACGGCTTGCATTTGTTAAAAGTTTGCCTACATGTTACGAGACTAGCACTACATGTTACGAGACTAGCAACAAGTCTTATCAGACGCTGGAACCTGTTTTCCATACAGAGAGAAAGTAAAAGAGAGAGAATGGAGAGAGGACAGACTGAAGTTTTAAAATTAGCAAAATAAGGTAGAAAGAGACAATGCAGAATGATTACTCATTTCTTTTTGTCAATACCAGGCTTAGAGCTAAAGGAAGTATCAACACCCCCCACCCCCCAAAAAAAACCCCAACAACAATGTGCTATGTAATTAAAATGAGGAATTCATTTCCAGCGGATGTTGTGGTGGTCAAAGGCATATAGAGATTAGAAAGGAAAGTGATAAATGTTCACAAGAGTAGTCTACCAGTACCCATTATACACAGCCTTCAGTTCAGGAACTGGGGCAACAAGGAGGGTCTGATAAGGAAGCACTGCCTACCCTTACAGGCTCCTACCTTGATTTTTTAATTTACTGTGAGACACACAATACTGCGCTAGAGGAACGGCAGCCAGATGGCTTTACAGTCCACAACTCAACCATCTATCTCCCAAAAGATAATTTTTATGGTTTTGGTTACTCAACATTGTTGGGGCCAAATTTTTCATTTAAAAAAGAAAAGGGAAAAAAAAAGAAAAAAGGAAGAAAAGACAAGACACATTCATAGAAGAAACTGGTGAAAATACTCCACCCCTCAAAAATTTACCCTCTCCACCACCAGCACTGACAAATCAATAACTTCAGCTGAAGATTTTGAATCAGCTCTGGTGAGATTTGGTCATCTCTTCACTTGCTTGTTTTGCCCACTGAGCAGAACAAGTCTGCTACATAGAGCTCACACACACAGAGACATGTCTTTTGTTTGCTCAGTGTCCCCATTCCTCCAGCGCCTTCTGAAGTTGAAAGGCCACAGGGTGGGGAGAGGAGAGAACAGGGTAGAAAAATGGTGTTGGGGAGGGGAAAAAAAAAAAAAAATCAAAAATCTTGATGTGATGATTTTCCCAAGACTCGCTTAGCTGAAGTTGATCTGCTTTTAGCCAGCAGAGCTTCTTACAGTATCTGCATGTGCTCAATTAGACACACTGCCATCAGAAACACGCCTCGTAGCAGTTCTAGATTCTGATCAGGTCACTCGCTGCCTCCACTTGCATAAATTATAAATGCCGAGTTCCTTACTGTGAGGCCTGAATTCAAAAACTTATTCCTTTCAATCGACCAACTTTTCAAACTGCTCCCTCAAAGCTATCCAGTTTTCTAGCACCGTTCTCAGCAGTGCCACACAAAAAGAGGAGGAGGGGGAGTGTAAAACTTTAGGAAAACCTACTTTCTGTGACTGAAAACACAGCCTGACCCTCAGCTGGAGGATGATATACAGATATTGCTGCTAGATTGATTGCTATGGAGCCAACACAAAGCTCAAATTGTTTCAGAGCTCACAAACAAGTCTTACATTCTTGACACTGGAATGCAGCAGATGGTTCAGGGAAAAGTTAGAGGTGAAATGCCCGACAGAAAACCCGTGCCACTTACAATGCTACATCGCTCAGGCTTCCCTGCTTTTCAGCAGTCTGCCAAACATCTCTTTTCAGCACCCATCAGTCAGCCAAGCAGCAAGGCTGACAGACAAAGAAGCCCGTTCTTTCTTTTTCTTTTTTTTTTTAATGGAAGAGATAAGGTCTTATTGACCTGATGTCTATCACTGCACTATGATTTCTGCGTTAGAGATGTGCTGGTTGCTGTGGGACTGATCTTTCCTGCCTCGGTCAGTGGCTCTGTATGAGCAGATGATTCCGTGCCCCTACAGTAAGTTGTTCTCATAACCAACATCGCACTTGATGAATATTCTCACTGTTCTGTTCAGATCAAAGGGTGGGACCTTGTAGTAGTACTGAGACATTACTACCAGGGATCTGCAGTATTTCTTGTGGGTTGGATGATAAAGATGTCAAGCGTTTTGTAGATGCAGGATTATGAAATAAGCCTTGAGCATCTAAGGACTGAATTAGAGACTGTATAAGCTGCATCTGCAGTGGCACATGAACTTGCCAGAGCTGAAGGTCTGTAACAGGATCCCAGTACCTCTTTACCGCTTCCCTTGAAAATTAAATACTTATATAATTGAAACGAACTGTTTACTTTCACAGCGTCTCGCAGGAACAGAAAAGGAGAAGGGAAAGACAAGGTAAAGATGTAAGCTGGTGTGAAATGCACAGTTACATTAAAGGTGTCCATAGGAACAAATCTGACAAGGAAATTAATTTCATGTTTCTTCTAACGGGGGAGTTTCCTGCACTGAAATCTGATGATCCAATAGACCAGTGGTTAGTAACTTGAATGTTACCGGTCTCAGTTTCTCTATAAAGCCCATCTTTGACACTAGGCCCACAGAATAGACACTTGAAATGCTTTGCAGGCTAAGGAGGAGGTTGGGGATGTCAGGACTCTGACTATGCACTCCTTGCTGAACAAATGCATACTCAGAGTAGCACCAAATTTAGTAATACCAGAAGGGACGAAGTACTCAAAACTCATGGCCTCCTTGGTCACTTGTAAAGGCTCAGATATCCAGTAATTCGCATGTCCTTCTCTGCTAGGTACTGGAGGGAAAGGTGAGTGCTTCTCTGCCTGTTGGGGCACCGATACTGAAAGTGTTGATAACTCCAGGCTTCAGACACAGACAAAAGCCAGAGAGCACCTCTGCTTGCAGAGAAGGCTGAAAAGCAGGGCTGTGGCTTTGCTCTGACCTTCTTTAGGGTTACCCAGGAGAGAGGCATCAAGTTCTAGGGAGGAAACCACACAAGCGTATGTCTCTACCTTTCTGACCACACCCAGGAGCAGTCCTCCCTTCCTAGGAATAACACAGTACTGGGAACTCGCACACAAAAGCTTTGCTTTAGGGATCAGGCCACATAGCTTCTATTGCTCTGTCCACAGCCTGTAAACAGAGTTTCAAGTGAAACTCATGCAAGGAAAGTTTCTTTTACTATTTTTATCCTGTGGGCAGACTAACAAGAAGGACTAGCAGAAGCAGTACCACCAAAGGAGGAAGATGGACACTGCAGGGCTAAATCTCAGCGCTACTGGTGGCAAATATAAACCACCAAAGAAATGAGGCAACTCAGCCCCCGGAAACCCTGTGTCACTTGCAGATTTCAGTACTCAGACACACGAGGACGTGTTCTGAGAGGCAATACAAGAGACTTCAGCACGCAAGAGGGCATGCAGAGCTCCATGTATAGGAGGCTCTGTTCCTCAGCATCACCTGTGTGCCAGAAGGCCCCTATCCTGTTACTGAGACACTGCAGTGGGACTTCCAAAGGCATTTATGGGTCTGAACCAGGTGAACTCCCCACCTCAGTCTTCCTCCTCCTATTGCCCATTGCTTACAGGAACTGCTCTGGAAGAAGAATAATCTGCTTTCTCTGGAATGGAAGTGCATGATTAGGCACATCAGACACGATTAGGTATATCACAGCTTTTATCCACCTAAACACCAGCAGTGGTGTCTGCATTCAGTTTGTAGCAACAGATCTGCTGAAGAGATCCTTGTCTAACCACAAAGATCAGCTGAAGCACCAACAAGGAATGCAAACCAAAAGACCTCCCCTTAAATCCTCTGAAAAGACCAAGTTTCCTACCTGGTTTCTTCAGTGGCCATGTAAAAAACATCGTCTGGTGCATCAATCCAGTTCATCCTCCTCCTTTTCACTGGAGGCATGGATCCACCACGAATTAATCGGACTTTTGTTGGGTATGATTTCCCATTGAGCAGCAAGTTTCGGCTTGGTCCCTAACGTGATACATAAAAAAGTACAATTATGGACTGCAACAAACCTGCGGTAGCATGTGATAAGCACTCAAAGGAAAAAAAGAATTAAAGTTTTCAAATCAGTTGTTCAGAGTTTCTGGTAAATATATCCCCTCTTGCCCATGACTGAACACAGAATTCACATAAAAGCAATTGTCCACAAGCAGTAGAAGTTAGGCACCTTCAATATACAATAGGACAACGATACTCCAGTGACAGGACAGATAATAAATGGAAGGCATTACCAATAATCTGTTGCTTGTGTCTGAAAGATGACATCAAGTTTGAAAGATTGAGCATAAGACTTAGATGTCAGCTACTACCATAAATCTAGAGCAACTCTATTGATTTCAGGGAAGAAAATCTAGCTACACAGCAAATCAAATATAAAAATCAGAATTTACAGTTATTCTGGGGTACCAAACTTACCCATATCCTTTTTGTTCTAGGAAGGTTAATATTTAATGATATATTAAATATGTTGTTGAAAACAAATCTTGAACTACAAAGCTTAGCAGCTTTCATCACAAAATCCTTTTAGCATTTAACACCACAGATTTCCCATACATAATGCATTTGCTTTGCGAATCAACACAGGTATAATTTTCCAGACCCACAGTAGCCCCCTTCCACTCAACTGGAAAAACATGAGCTGTTATTAAGAGAGGTGCAGATGCAAGGGAGCAAAGGATTAAGCTTCTCAAATGCAGCTGTCCTTGATCATTTGAAGTCCAGTTCTGCTGCCCCTCTTCCTGCCGATTTGCACATTGAGAAATCCCACTGAAATCAGTAACACTGGACAAGTCAGGAAAGATGCAAAATAAGGGCCCAGAAAATTTCATATGAATAAATTAAAGCTGGTCAGAAAACACCCCAGTAGAAATTTAATTCTGGTATTTCACAGGCCATCCTCCGAGGTCAGACCATCTCCCCAGATGCACCCAGGCACCTTCTGCCCATGAAATGGGAAACTGAGCATGGAGATGAGGGATGTCTAGCCTGGGAGATCCACCTCAAAAGGAAAGGTGGGGACATGAGGTACTCAAGTCCTCAAGTGTCAGGTTACGGCAAAAAGTCAACCAAATTTTAACACTTTGACTTAGAAAGGGAAGACGACTTCAGTCTGTCAACCAAGAAAAAATCCCAACAAAACCCTGCGTCTATCTCATTTTTATCTGACGAGAAAGCAAAAAATGATTGATGACTTTTTTTTTTTGACCAGCCTTAATCAACTGTGCTAGCAAGATCTGCTTCTTGTAGAAAATTAGGGCTTTAGAGCCAAACAAACAAAACCCCACCTTTTGAAATCCTAAGCTCTTTAAAGCTGTTCTATACAAGTGCGATAACGATTTTAATTTCTTAGTTGCCCAGCTCCATGTTATATAAGACAACTTCGGCACCACAGCAGACCACTGAAATACGTCAAGAATTGCTTTTATATTTGAGGTTTATTAAGGAAAAGGTTTCAAATGAAAGGCTTTTCTGTTGGCTTTTTTACCCCCTCCAGATTTCTCTAAGAAAATCCTTTCATTAGTTTTGCAAAGGATATTTTCTCTGCACATGCTAAATACACAGGAGAACAACTCCAGAGAAAGTTCTCGGAAATACGTAGAAGGGGCACCCCTGTGCTTCCAGGTTGCCTTTTCTCTACCTGCACAGAGCAATCTGCTTCAAATGGTACATCCTGAAAGGTGGACCTTTACTTTTCAGTTCAGCAGCACACTTTACCAAGCAACCAGAAATCAAGGCAGTTCAGGGGTTTCACCCTAAAACACCTAAAAAGCGTTAGGTCATCACAGATTTCTCCCACTGCACTGAGTTGGTTTATTCAGCAGACACAAACAAGTAGCCAGTCTCCTCAGTGACAAGAAATGAAGCTGAATTCAAGGAGGAATACAATTTACCACTTCATATCAGGTGCTCAAGTAACAAACCAAATGAATGCTTCGTTATTACAAGCAGACTAGCATGCTCAAGTTATAGCCTACCCTCATGATACTGCACACTATCCGAGAGCATTATTACATTTAATAATGCTTGTGATCACCATTCAGTGACCATCAGTCATACCTGCTGCTGATTGACCCATGTCAGAGTGACTCTACTGACACTAATACATTGTGGCAGTTCACCTAATGAGGCAAGCTGCACTTTATCAACACCAGAAGATCATTTTGGGAAAAAAAAAAATATGCTTTAATTTCTCTCCCATGAGTCTCCCATAAGCCATGCATAAGGCGGGGAAGTGATGCACAGCCTTTGCCCTGGCCCCTTCACACCGAGGTGAATTTCATGAGAAAGCATTATGCCAGAGATGCATCAATCAGACTGGCTATTTGCTTCTGTCCTTTGATAAAACTCAGCATAATGGATGAAAGGCTAGGAATCATTTTTACTCAAAAAAAAAAAAAAAAGAGAACATAAAAAACAAGCATTCTCAGCAGACAACTTGCACACCAACTTCCAAAAAAAACAAAACAAAAACAAAAACTGTTTTCCAAATAAACCCTTCCATCAGTTAAGCCTTCCTCCTTCAGTGAAACACATTCCACCTAGAAGCACATCCCAGAACTTTGCTATAAACAGCCACTCAGTTTCTGTATGAGCAGAAACAAAATGTTCCATTCAAAACAGAATCTCATTTTTATATAGATAGATAGATTTGAGGTTTAAATTGTATTTAACCACTTCAACGTTTCATATGCCCCAAAATAATTATTTTGTTTTAAACTCTTCAATTAATTAGGAAGTATGACCAGCTGCAAACAGCAAAGACGGAAGTGAAACACTAGGGTTTAATGGGGTGTTCTATCTAGCGCGGGTTAATAATTCTTCTTTTCCCTGTTTTGGTTAAATGAACATTCTCTTACCATTTGTCTGGTTTGTCCGTGGTTAGGCAGACCTAACAAACAGGAAAGAGAATAGAGCTGGTAAGACCATTGCTTTTCCAAGACAGAAAAAAGTACAAAATCAAAACACACGCAGCTATGATTGCAACTGTGTTGTTTTGCTAAAACAAGAGTTGTCTACCAAACTAACTTCTCCCCTCCTTGAAAGGTAACTAAGAAAAGAGCTTCCTTAACAACATGGTTTGTAGAGCAGAGCCCCCAAATTAAAAACATGTTCCATTCGCTCAGTCTTTTCTCCATTTACTCACACCTTTCTTCAAACTACTGCTAAAAGTACACCTCCTCTTTCAGATCTGAGGTTTTCCTCAAGTCTTGGGAAAAATCTAGTATTCTGTTTTAGTTTTGGAGGAATTTACTGACATCAAGAAGGAGAAAGTGGAAGGTATTATACACTGTCGAGACAGCAACAAATAAAATCTTTCCTATCATCCTTGGATCCCCAGGGAACTCTTCAGCTCAGCTGTTACCTACAAGCTGTTAGAAAACAGCTTGTATCTGCTGAACCTACCACAAGTAAGTACTTCCATAGGCGTAGCTCCACCAGTCACAGAGCACAGCGACTCCAGCTATCACACAAAGGCCATCCCCAGTAACACAAACAGCACCTTAAAGCACCAAGCACAATGGCTTGATTTTACTAGCTTATTTGCTATACTATCCGATACCCTATCATGTTGCCATAGCGTATGCACTAAACTGTACATATATGAGACCCTGCAGGACACAAAAAGGTCTTAGGATTTAAGAGAATGATGTGTTGCTATAAGGCAGCAGGGTATGGCGCAGAATGGACTGGGAGACCTAATAAACCTTTTTGTTAGCACCGTTTAGTTTTCTAAGATGCACGCTCCCAGAAAACACCATTTCATTAACATCAGTGCACCAAACCATCTTTCTCAGCCCCTTCTGGCTGAGAACCAAATTGTCAGTACATCAAATCCAACAGGTCCTACAGGACAGGCACCAGCAAATGCTGTCGCTGGCTGCAGAAGTCATCAGTATGAATTCTGCTTTCACATTTATAGCAAGCTTCCCAGCTTGAATTCTGAAACTTCGCATTGCTAGCGAGTTAAGCTATGATGAAACAGCAAAGCTTTTTAAAGAATCCAGCAGAAACGAACTTTTACAGCTCACGGTCCGCACTCAACAGATTCCTCAAGATTCTCCTTGGTAAAACCAAACACAATGTACTCACAGCAAGTATGCCAGGAAACACATGGCACAGCAACATATCGGGAGGGAGGAAGGCGGAATGGGGGACATGTTCTGAGCATTGAGGATCACGACACCACATTAAAATCAACAGTTTATATCAAGTGTATTTTCCATTCTGTGTAAACATATGCTATTAGCTACTTCAAACATGAAGACACATCGTTTCAATTTTTGCAGCACTTTTGTGCCTAAGTATCCACAGAGATGAAGAAATGGTTGCCAGAAAGACTTCCATCAAATCTGTAGAACAGATGTACCAGGCACCAAGCAGGAAGACCAGTAACAACCTTTGGATGTTGACAAAGGCAATGGAGGCACCAGATAATCACTCCTTTTTACATGGGAGCAGCAATCACATCCAAAACACAGCTGTGAGCAGCCGTTTGAGATGGATGGACAAAGAGCTCCACGGATGCTGGGAAACCACGCAGCCAGCAGGATGCAACCTGAATCTGTTGGCTTCAGAGCTAAGCTCTAGCACTTGTTTTTTTCTTCCCCCTTCCATAACAGAAAGAGAACATTTTCTCCATTCGCAGGAGCTCCGAGAGATGTAAATCAACTGATGCTAGTCCCTGGCATGAAGCCACACATTTCGTTTTAACCACACTCCAGATCAGCTCTTTTCTTGTACTAAGAACATTCTTGATACCAGAAAAGACTAGCCTACAGGAGAAGCTGATACGTGGCTGCTGCAATGACTATTGCTGGATGTAAACCAGACACTAAACAGTGCTATTCCTAAGCACCAGAATTAACCCAGAATATTCCACGGTGAGAAGAGATGTTGAGACTGACACAGACTGAGCGAAGGCTGAACAGAACTGCTACTTACTCTGAGCCCCAAAGCTTCAGAGCCCTCAAACAGCAAAGAAGCAGTGGTTACAACAGGGACACACCTCACCCCCTAAGCTGTAACTTCTAGGATAAAGCTGCCTATGACAACTTTTTGCTCCACTAAAATAAGACACACAGTTATAGTTTCAATACAATTTATACTCTTGCTATCACAGTAATATGGTATCAAATAGCATATTAATCTTAGCTATCTGTAAATTTTCCCTTTAGTCACACTTTGATAACTGAAGTTTGAAAGAATAAATATGAAAACAGACACTATAAAGACTAGCTTCAGTTTGCAATGAAAAATATCCCACTAAAAGCATATGCAGCTGAAGCACTTCTATTAAATGAACAACTTTTACCCGCAATGGTCACCGAAGAGATGCAGAGAGACAGCATAACATCTGTAAACCATTGCAGAACAGCTGTCAAGTCAACAGGATGCATCTGTACTGGAAACAATGGATTCTCACCCAAAAGTTTTTGGTGGCTTCTGTGCGAGAGATGAGGTTTGTGAGACAGGCACCTCTAAGAACTAAACCAATGCTCCGCTTCTGGGTAAGGAGTAGTACAGACAGGTAACTCACCATACGAAACTTAGTCCTCCCCATGGTGCTTGTTCCATTTTCACAGATCAAGGTTTGAGAGACACTTCTCACACACATGCATCCACAAGCAGGTTAAAAAAGTAGGACAGCATATGAATATAAACCAGGAGCAAAATCCAACAAGGTTCCGGCAGCTCCTCTACAGGAAAAAAAACTGTCTATTTTATGGAGGGATGTCTAGAGAAGCCACAGGGTAGAAAGTGTGACTATTCCTTTCGACGATATCTAAGGTTCAAGTGCTTGAATTTACATATCTCCACATCAGAAACAACACTACACTCCTCCAAGTAAGGAATAAAACCCCAACAAACAAAAAAAGGAGGCAACCAAACCTTTAAAACCACACAGTGTAAAGGTCTACAATGATGAATCTAAGCAGATCTTCCACTCTTCTGCAGCCAAAGAAATTTAAATATATTCTGAAAACTCAAGATTAAATGTTTTTTTCCATAGCACTGAAAAAACCCAAAGCCCTACAAAATCTCCTCCAATTCAATTCCTCCTGCCACAGTCTCCTCTATACACTGAAATAAAGAGGAAGTCCCAGAGGATAAAATGTAGACAAGGTAAACTGAAGGTATGTCTGCAGATAAGCATAGATGTCCTCTGCCACAGACGATTCTACGTTTTTACTGAAATGGCAGTAAAACTAATCACAGTAGAGAGATTAATTGACACCTCAGAGCATGCCTCCTCTACTCCCCACAACTTAGCGGCAAAGACCTCAGAACTGTGCCTCAAGCATAAGCACAATTACCGAGACTTTTTGCTCAAAACCAGACACAGCAGGTTACTATACCCTAATGATCCTTTCATTCTTCAAGTATCAAAGCTGCAGATGAATATACTTTCACCCCCCAAAAGAGGCAGGTGGAAAAGGACTATCACAAACAGCAAATGCAAGTCTGTTACTACTGTTACTTTGCAGCTTTATCTTTTGGGGATGGGGGGGAACCACCCCTCAGTTAACCAACCTGTTTCTTTTCCAACAGTCTTGTATCATTTGAATCTAGTGCTTTCAGATTTGTTGAGTTTAAAATGAGAGAATACCGAAACTTTCTACAGCCACTACAGCACCACCCCAAGAGCATGCTGTGGGAGTAGGGAATAGTTGGCACCCGACAACAGGGTGGAGTGAGGGAATCTAATTTCCCCGATGGGAAGCAAACCAGCACGTCTGGTTCCACCAGAAGCCTGAGAGTAGACATGCATGCTCTTTGCTGATCCAGTCCCATTCCCCGTGAGCCCAGCGAGAAGACCTCAGCATCTGAATGGCAGCATTCAAAAATTATTCCCACTGCACAAACTCAGCCTGCTTTTTTGCCAACTCCACACACTACGCAACTGACGTTTTGAGAAGCAGGAGAGCCTAAACCCTCAGCAGTGTGCCCAGCTCAGACTGGAGTGCGGGGATATTTCCATGAAGTTACTACAGCAAAGCATCAAGAAGCTGCAGAATGAGCACCAACCATGGCCACTTTTCTACTTGGGTAGAAATCTGCCAGTGCTTTTCCACGCGTGAACATACACAGCATTGCCTGCATATTTACAGGCCATTTCATAGTTTGGTACAAGAAGTCTGTACAGAGCTGACCCTAGTACCAAGGAGGAAGAGTAACCCAGCTTCTAGCCACTGGATACAACTTGGAGTTGTGAAATTTATATTTACTTGAACTAACTCCAATCTTCAGCATATCCACCACACACAAAAATACAGGTCTTTCATCTCCTGTTAACATAATTCATCTTTTCTTTTTTTTTTTTTTTTTAATTAAATCAGGCCATTTTTTAAGTCAATCAGGACATCAAGCTATTAGTCACAGATGGCATTTTGTTTTTAACTTCTGTTTACCAGAGAAGTATCATGCAGAACATGCAATATGCAGTAACATTCATAAGCACGTCTTCAATCACAATGAACGTAGAGAATTTAACACACACTTTCACAACCAGCAAGTTTACTACACTAAAATACATTGCTTTCAAAAAATCCATACACTTTTCATATGCATTTTCCTTTTCCAAAAGTAATCCTCCTCCTGGGATTCCATCCTTCCCAGCAGTAACAAAAACATCAACAGTACCACACTTGTGAGCAAGCTAGAAAAAAATATAAAAATTCATGCATGAATGAGGCTTGATGAACAAGAATTTCACTTCCAAGTTACTGGTTCACTTGAAGTAGTCTCTGTGTGTTGACATATACACACATACAGTTTTTGCGGGCTTTTAAGAATGTTTTAGTACCCTTCTCTTTCTTAAACTGCCAAGAGTGTGTTACTGCTGTGAGCAGATTGAGTGTCCACTTTCTAACAATCAAAGGTTATAAACTTTCAGGAACGCAAGTGCAACAAACAGAACAGAGCATAAATTGTACCGAACACCACCTAGACTAACATTTTCTTAAAATTCTGTTGTACATAAAAACAATGTTAAAATTGCAATTTACTTACCTAAATAAGTTCCTACCAAGATTGGCAAAAGAAAAGGAAAAAAAAGATTTAAGGTTAAAAAAAGGAAAGATTCACATAGTTCAGAATACAGTAGCCCAGCCCCATGCAACAAATACAGAAACACAGACTGTTTTGGTTGTAATGAAACACAGAAGTGATCACAGTTCTCTGTTGGACAGATAAACCCAAGACAACATTAAACAAACAGTAACTCCAAACGAGAGATTCCACAAAGAGCAGCTTTAATTTTGGATGAGTAATTAGTGGTTCGTTACCCACCTCCTTCCACTAATCCCTGCACTAAACCTCGTTGGATTTGGACAGTACTTCCTAAAACGCTTGGTCTAACAGTTCACATTATTTTGCTGCACAGTGTTCATGCAAAGCTGTACCTTCTGCTAAGAGTACTTCAAGGACCCTACTAATATGTTCTGGGCTGTGACATCCAACTACGATGAGTCAGTAGCTACCCTTGGACAAGTATGTTGAGACTGGAGAGCTGCTATCTTGGTGTTGCGTCAATTAATACTATCCACCCGCATTCCTAAAAGAGCATCACAGTATATTCTGTCCGGATGCAACACACTAAGTGGTTAAAAAAAGAGGCAACAAAACCATGCACTTCACTGCTTTAGGATTTGCTGATCCAAGCTATGTAAACTAGAAACCACTGAATTTCCCCTCACTACAAGAAAAAAAATTGAGGTGCTGGAGCACATCCAAAGAAGGGCACGAACCTGGTGAAGGGTCTAGAGCACAAGTCTTATGAGGAGCGGCTGAGGGAACTGGGGTTGTTTAGCCTGGAGAAAAGGAGGCTCGGGGAGACCTTATCACTCTCTACAAACTACCTGAAAGGAGGCTGTAGCGAGGTGGGGGTCGGTCTCTTCTCCCAAGTAGCAAGCGATAGGACAAGAGGAAACAGCCTCAAGTTGCGCCAGGGGAGGTTTAGATGGGATATTAGGAAAAATTTCTTCACCAAAAGGATTGTCAAGCATTGGAACAGGCTGCCCAGGGAAGTGGTGGAGTCACCATCCCTGGAGGTATTTAAAAGATGTGTAGATGCGGTGCTTAGGGACATGGTCTAGTGGTGGACTTGGCAGTGCTACGTTAATGGTTGGACTTGATGATCTTAAAGGTCTTTTCCAACCTAAATGATTTTATGATTCTGTGAATTATTCGATAATTCTTAGAATTGGGAGTATTACACATCATATACATATATACGTGTGCGTGTGTGTATACACACGATACGTAGCACACACGCAGATTCCACTTAATTACAAGTTCAGGCTTTGTACTATCAGAGGCATTTGCAATTCTGCCCTTGCATTGTTATACATCCATCTCCTCTAATATTAATTACACGTGTTCCCTACCATTGCCTTGGGATATGCACTCTCCTCTCACTCAAATCAACAATTACATCTTACTCCATGCCATCGCTCATAGATGAAACGGTTTTCACTAGCTGATCCATAGAGCATGATGCCCATTTCCTGATTTCATTTCCAGATCTTTCTCCATAACACCAAAAGAAACTAATCACAGTATCATGGCTAAGCTGAAGGCAAGCGACAAAAGTTTCACTTAACATCTGAATATAAAATCCTAAGTACAATTCCCCAAAATAATCTGTACTTTTGGCATATAATCTAAAGCAAGGAAGTTGCACAGGCACACGGCTCTTAGGGTCCCCAAAAAGCATTTCAAGCAACGTGTCATTGTTCCCAGCTGTGCTGCTGCTGGCAAGAAACAGTCATTCTTTTACAAAGCATTGAACATTTTCTCTCTTGACACTAGTCAGCATTACTCTGGTCCGGGTATCAACAGCTAAAGCCAGGACTTTTCCCCACTACCTCATGTATCACATTATTCATTAAAGGACCAATACTCCCTGCTGTTTACGGTCATTCCTGGATGGGCAGATATCCTTTGGCTGGTTATCCTTGACTTTGGAAGGGCAGCCAGGGCCACTGCTGATAAAGGCAGAATTTTAATGCAACTTATGCATACAGGTAAGTCCAAATTTTCTGCAAGGTCTAAGTCAGACAGAAAAAACCTTTGAGATCAGTCTGGTCACCTCCATAGCTGATGCTAGAGAACTTCTTTATATTCCCACCTCGACAGATGTTTTTGATCAAGAACAGTATTTCCACTTTCATGCTCATCTCTTGATAATTAAACTAATGCCATGCTACGCTGATGAATGCTTCCAGTTCTAGGAGTTCATTCACGTTTCCCCAAAAGGAGGTGAGAAACAATGAACCAGAACATGTTAAATTAGATCAACATTCCATTTTGATTTAGAAATCCCCAGTAGCAGAAGCAAGGTATTCCAACAGTTAATTAACCTCACTCAAAAATCTGCAGCTTATTTCCAGCCAAAGTTTTTCTGCTGTACCTTCTGGCTACTGCAGCTCATTATTCCATTCCCGGCTAGACTAAAAAGCCCTCTATTATTACACTTCTGCTGCTCCTGTCAGCAGAGACAAACATCTACAACTTCCACTTTGATAAAAGCATTTTCCATTATACAGTGTGTTTTCCAGTCCCTTCACTGTTTTCATGGCTCTTCTATAAACCCTCTCCAATTTTCAGCATATGATCCGCTACCATTTTATCAATGCAAGTTTGTTGCTGGGAAAAGCCTTCCCTTTATTTCAGCTACTCATTCGTGTTCTCCCTCTTTCTGCCAATTTTAGAGTGCATGTGATGACCCTGAAAAACAAATTTGATTAGATGAAAGCTAACATGGTGTAAAAAAAGAGAGGAAAAAAATAAAAATCTAACAATGCTCCCTCCCTTCCCCCAGTAAGAATTTGCATAGACAAGTATCACATAGACACCACAGTGGATAGCTGTAAGGAAAAAAGTAAACAGGGACCAGAACATAAAACATCCTCTGTATGTCTCCAGAGGAAGTTTCATGGCAAATATTGTCAGCCAAGCTCCAGAACATTAATGAAAAAGCAATAAACTAATAAATTTTTAACATCTCGCTGTATTCGACAGCTTATGAGACTCCACGTACTTTTCATGCTCCAAAAATAGGAATCTGCAGGAGTTTGTCCATGCTAACCTAATGCTGAAGGAGAGCTAGGAAGGCCACTGTATGCCTAATGATGCCTCCAATGTGATGTAAAGGAGCAGAGGAAAACAAAACAGATGAAAGGACCACACCCTTCTTATGAAAGAGTGGAGGGAGAGAAGAGAGATGAGATTAAGAATATTTTCCTATTCTTGGAATTCAAGCACCAGTCGAAACTCCAGGTGCCTGGCCAGACAAATCATATTCAAAGCTTGAAAAAGTTCAGCTCTCCAGGGTTAAGCAGGGATAATTCAGAAAAAGAAAAGTTAAAGATACTTAGATGGAGTTACAGTAGCAAGAGAAAAAACAAACAAGTAAACAACAAAATTCCAAAGGAAAAATCTGAAGTACTCTTACAAGGTTCAGCAATTTCCAACATTTCCATAATTAGTTTTACCTAGTTCTGGCAGCAGCCCACTAATAAGTCTCCTTTCTTTTTCCTCCTTGATATCTCACCGCCAAGAATCCCCTTTTCCCAGACTTTCCTTGCTTCCCATTACTACCTCTCTTCACAGAGAGTTCAACCTGACCAACCCATACCCGCACACAGACTAGGTAGTCTTCCATCTCCACCCCGTCCACCCTCAGTCATCATTTGGGCACATTTAGGAACGGTGTTTCCACTTATGCAGGAACTTCACTGATTAACTTTCCTGAGGGCTGAATTCTAACTACCGACCACCCACCGTCCTAAATATGAAGGGGTGGTAGAGCCTCAGATGAAAATCTTCCAGCAGTGCTGCCTGAAGGAACACCCAAAAACCTACATGAACAGTTCAATTTTCAGCAACGTTAAACAGCTTAATTCTAAATGAAGGCAGGTGCCATGGGAATTTAAATGCCTTAGAAACCTGGCCACCAATATATACGTATAAACATGGATCTTAATGCTTTACACTAAGCAAAAATACTAGCTGTAGTTGGCTCATTCCCTGCAAAGCAATCTCTTGGTTTTATATTGCTTTAAGATCTGGCCATGAGGAAAGCCTTACAAACACATCACGTGCAATCAGCTCAGCAACCAGCCATAATTTACAGCATATATACTTCCCCCATGAGTTTGGAAGCAACAGCCCAGCACCAAAAGGCTTTATCACCAGCAAAGAAGCTTCAGCTGAAGCCCACCATACTAGCTGTCCTCTGTCATATATCAGAGACTTTGACACAGTGAACTGTCCAAACCGTAAGATATCTTCCAGGTGCCACCAACAGAGCACATAAACAGGAAACAGAAAAATCCCTGGATAACTCATATAACATTGCAGTAAGTTAACATCTTCTTGAAAACTATTTCAACATAGGTGGACAAAGTGTCTTCCTGCACTTAAATTTGTGCAGAAAAAATATTTTCAGCCTCCTCGTTCAGTCGTCTTAACACCAGCTTTTCTTTGCAGTACACTCCTACAATGACCTAAACCAGCCAGTATGCCACCATGTATCACTAAAGGGAGAGGAAAAACATAAAAACAACAAAAAACCCACCACAATTTCCCATAGTATCTATAGGAGCTATGTAAATGAAGAATCTGACTGGTTATAACAATTCAGTTTTACTCTCATTAATCTTTTTCTTCTATTTTAGGTCAGTCACAAAAAATTCAGTCATTCTGGATAGATGGGTTTATTTCATTCCTTTTATACTAACTCACTGGCTCCTAAATTCTGGTCACAAGGCTTCATCATCGCTGCCATTCACCCCTTCTTCACAATGGTTCCAACTTGTGCTCTTCCTCTCCTCTGACCTCCTCCTCTCCCTTCCCACCAGCAGCCCCCCAAAGTAGTAAGCCTGTATGACTCCATCAAGAGCCAAGGAGAAGTCTCAGCACCACATTCCCAGTTCTGGCACAGCACAGGAAACCGGCATTATCCATACCCAGAGCCAGCAAAGGTTACCAGCTCACACACAAGGCAACTGGGAACCAGTGCTAAGTGGCACTGGCACACAAACTGGCTCCAGGCCAGAAATAGGTCCACCAAAACTTCTGTCATCTGTTTCCCTGTGCCCAGCAGATCTTGACCCGAGTTCTTTAAACCTCGTTTCTCTGCAGGTGGTTCCCTTCCATCTCTGTCTCGGCAAAGCTTCCAGCAACCCAGGGTCAGAAAATATTCCAGATGTCAAAACTGCAGTGTGACAAACATTTTCCATTCACAAATAAATCTCAACCAACAAGTTTAAGCTGAACTGCTCACAAGAATATCCAGTTAACACTCACTACCCCAGCAGGTAAACAGATTCTGGGACTGATTTGTACTCCGCTACCTAGCAGTTATAGGAACAAATACTACTCCAAGTATTTCAGTGGCTGGCTGAGAACAGACCGAGCAGATAAAGCAGCAGGTGCTCGGTGAGAGCCAGCCCCTGCACAACTACAAACATATGCTTCAGAGAAACACGTATTCTGAGCAGCCTGGACAGGTACTTCACCAAAATCTTCTTTTTGCAAACTGCTCCAGCAACAGTTATGACTGAAATGTATCTGATCAAATATGTATACCAGCAGACAGATGTTTTAAAACACTAGAACAAGAATCCTCCATTTCCAGTAAGTAAATGGTCTCAGGTTATCAAGTCCAGTGCTCTATGCAGAGAGAGCCTGAGGGAAGAGTCAGTTCTTCTTCCACTTCCCTCCTTTGGGCCACAACATCTCAGTGCTTCAGAAGTGTGTCAGCTGCTGAGTGACTCAGCAGTCCCCTTGCTGATGAGGACATTTAGCAGGGAGCAGCAGGCATGCCCATAAGCAGGTTGTCACTAGGAGCTGTGGAAATTCAGAGAGCTAGTCGACATCTACATCCCTCATTACTGGACTAAGTTTCCAAGAAAGCCAAACTGACTGAGACAGCAGGGTTTTGTTATTCTTCCCAAAACACAAAAGTTAAAAAGCACATTAAAAACTCAGCAACGCAATATCAAGGTATAAATTCCCAAAGAAAGCAAGACAGTAGGACAATCACTGTCCTCATTGTATTCTCCACATGCACTTATATATGCATGCACGTAAATATTGGTAACAGTCATCCACTGTCTCAGCCATTAAACACAAAGCTTAAAATCAGGGCATGCAGTGTGGGCCATTTCATGGTAACATGTAAGCTTAAGTTTTTACGTTTGCCCCTCTCACGATGACATTCGTATATCCTAACTATCCAAAATTGGTCTGTTCTATTGAATTTGGTTAATTGACATCATATGTAGATTTCCTGTATTATCACAAACTAAAGCTTCTGAGGTCTACTCAGTAGTCAGAACAGACTAACCTGTGGAAATTTTGAAAACCATTTCTACTGCAAGTAGAGAACACACAGACAGTCTCTCACTGGTGAGACTGTCCACTCACAGTAGAAAATACAGAGGCTTGAACTTGGGACTCGATGTGAATACTGTCTTCTATTTCTTCTGGTCGATGTGAATTTAAAGTAGTTCAGGACGCATGAAACTTGGATTTCTTAAGAGTCAAACAGTGAAACAACACCTAGTTTCAAACCAACCATCACAGCTTTCAGCAGTTTCAAAAAACTGCTAGAAAACTGTTCTGTCATCTTGAGGAATTAGTAATCAATTCTGAACATAGCACTTCATGTCTTCAGTATGGCTGTACGACTTGTCATTTGCATGTGAAAAGCCTGGAAGGTGAGCAGCATAACCATGGGTGGAAATGGTTACCCAAGGAACACTTAGACATCAACACAGAAGGTGCACACAGACTCATTAGCCACAAAGCACAGACAAGCCAGCAGATGAAACTAAAAATCACTCTCCTAGCATAAGCTGAGCGCAGCTTCAAGGTCTTACCCCTGCTAGGCATCAACAGGCGCTTCTTCATGTTGCCTGATAGAGCACAAGTGAACAGAAAAGAGAAAAACATCACATCAGCAACCTGAACAGCAGCAGTTTAAAAAGTTCTTAATGTTAAAACACAAAACAATAAGATATCAAATGTTTGTAATTATGTTTTGGTTAAGCCACATATGAAGTTAAAATTAAAGGTAAAAAATGAGAAAGATTCTCTGTATCTCCCTCCCTGCTCAGAGTCATCCGAACCAACTGTTCCTTTCCCCCGTTAAGGAGAGCTACTCTCCATGTTCTCACTCCCGTTAAGACCATTTGAACAGACCCTTTTATCTTCATCTGAGGAAAAGACTGCACTTTCTCTTCCCCGACACTCTCAGGCAAGAGCAACTCTTCAGAACAGAGCCCTGGAGTCCGTGCCAGGAACATCCTGCATCTACCTCCCACTTCAAACACCTTCCCCTTGCCTTTTATTCTTGAGGCAATGAAGCCCAAACCCCACTACACAGAGGTGGCTCAAAGACAGGGCCAACAAAAGCAAATGCTCTGGTTCTGCGCAAGGCAGGAGCAGGTTTATGCCATGCCAGATCTGGCACGTCTGCCTCCCTCAGCTAAGCAGCAGCCTGCCTCTCTCAATGGCATGCAGGCTCTGGTAGCTTTGCTGAAAGCCAGGTGATCCACACGTTACAAAGCCACCTGGGAACTGCACAGCTACCTACAGGTTAAAAAAAGCTGTAAACCTCAAAAGAAAAAGGAAACATCACTGGAAAAAGTTATTAAGTTTTCTTCATACTACTCATTTAAAAACTGAAGGGAAGTTTCTCTTTCACTATCCTATTTGCGAGGTTGGTCAAGCTAGGCAGAGTTCCACTAGGCACAGTAGCTTTATGTGTGTGCACCACGCAGGCAGTACACATCATGTGTCTCACCCAGAAGGAGAAATAGGACAAGTGACTTTTACAAAAGGAAAAAATTAACCTCCCTCAATAATAAGAAACTTGGAATTTATATAAAGGACTATAGTTTTAAATAATCTCCTCGTAGACTGAAAGGACAGAAGAAAAAGCCTATATAGACAATATACATTTTGCAGAAAAATATTTACCATCCATTCCATTGTGTTGTTCATAACTTCTTTTTCCCAGGATAGTTGGGGACCCATTATTAATGACAGGCGTAAATTTAGCAGGAGTCAGATTGTTGAGAGAACTGGACAAGCTCTTTGCAGGATCTGGTTTCGGAGGACACGGATGAGACTCTGTTGTAAAACAGCAAGGTGAGGGTTTTTTATTAGTGAAGATACTGGAATTATAAATCTGAAAACAACTTGCCAACTTCCAAGGTGACCAAGTATACCTCCCCTTATATACAAACTATCTCAGTCAATAATTTTGACTAGAGATTGCTATTTATATAAAGCATTTTAAGTATATTTAGGATTTCATCTCTACTGAAGATGTTAAAACCAATGTCATATATTATCCTAAAATAAGAGTTGATAACACAAGCACTTTGTATCTATTTCCAAAACACTATTCTCCGACAATTTGGGATCATTTTGGGGCTGCTCTATATCGAAAGCTGCAGGCAACACCCCTAACCTCTGGGGAAATTACTACTTTGCCAGTTTTGCAAGGTTTGTAAAAAATACAATTTCTAAACTGACCAAACAAGTGAGGATTCAAAGCACCACCATAAACAACACAGAGTCTGAATTCAAATTTTTGGCCAAGGCAGAGATCAAGCACACACTGTTCACCTGAAAAGATTTTTAGAAAGTTACAAGCAACAGCAAATGGGAACCTCAACCGAGTTTTTCTCTCGCAGCCCCAACAGCTGAGTAACATATAACTTAAAGCACACTGAACACGACACCTCCAAAAATACATTCTTGCCAGTCCATCAGCCTCCCTCCCTTTCTCTCACTCCCTTCTCCCAGGTCAGCAGTCAAATGGAGACCCTGACACAGCGCTAATGAAATCTCAAAATCTACTGCTACATTATGTACAACTATTAAAAGCAGGATTTTATCCAACAGCAAAACTTCTCCCTTTATTGGCTTTATTTGGTTGCACTATACATATCTAAAGGTTTCTCAATCTGTGTATCTCATCAGTGTACAGCAGAAGTACAACACTCAACAGAGAAGCAGTAAATATTTAATAAACCCTGAGCCTTACAATATTTCATCAACAAAAATGTTCAAAGAAACATAAAATCAACTCCAATGTTTCTTATCAGAGTAAAAAAGGCAATCGACTTCCTTGTTAATCTGGAAGCCTTCAAAGTACCACTGTCAAGCTAGCTTTCTGTGGTTAGACTCGCATTAGACTGCTGTAACAACCCGAGACATGTCTTCAGGGTATCTCCAGCAACTGGCAACGCTAGGGAAAATGATTTTGCGTTCATTTGGAGTCAGAGCTGGCATGTCACGTAGCTGGCCTCTTCCAGCACCTAAAACTTACATCAAGGTCCTGGACAGAGCTACTCAGTACTCCCCCACAGATCAGCTGATGAGGCCCAAGTCCTCAAGAAATCTGTAACACCCCCACCCCCACCCCCCAAAAAAAAAACCCAAGATGAAAGTAAAGAATGGAAACATAGTCCCCTTGTCTAGCTCCCGCACAGAACAGCCAGCAACTGATTCACAAGCTGTGGGACACAGTGCTGCCCTAAATCCGAGGGGCTTCTCAGAGGACCCAACTGTAGGAACTGCCTCCAGACAGCTCAAAAATTGGAACAATGGGACTGACCAATTGTTCCCAAAACATTATGTTCGTGACTCCATCAGCAGATGGTAACTTGTCCCCACATACATCGGAGGCCACAGCAAACACATCCCTCCCTTCACTTGAAAGTTTCTGATACAGCTCAGTGAACCCACAGTGGACTGCTGAGCCACTAGGTCTGTCAAATTAAGTAGGAAAAGGAAAAAGGACAAGTTCATGGGAAGGTTTTCATGTTTTGTTTTTTAATTCAGAACCAGCATCTAAATCCAGAACCAAATCGAAAAAGAAATGGTTAGCAGAATTAGCTAGTTTTTTGTTTGGTTGGGGGGGGTTGTGTTTGGTGGTGTTTGGTGTGGGGTTTTTTTAATACCTAAATACCGGAGTACTGCTTCTAAAGGCTTTCGAACCACTTGCTTTAATAGCAATGGGTTTTCTGATGCCTCAGGTAAACGTGCTGTGCCTGTAAAACAAAGAAAAATAATTAGAGGGTAAAGACATTTAGATATTAAAAGAAAACTAAATTAATAACTCAAGTGTCCCAAAAGAGCTTTCTAATCAAAAGGAATTTTACAGGTTGCAAGCATGTCTTGGCAACAGGACACAAATGCAGGAGAATGCTACGTGTAACAGCTACATGAGTTATTTTAAAACAAACAACAACTCATGAATTTAAGTTATTTGCCTAGCCTGCCATCAGTTAGAACACTCTGCAAGTATAGCTAGATTTTGTGAAACCACTAGCTATGAGCAAGAGAGCATCTCAAGAAGTTGCAACTCAAACTTTATAGGAAAGGAATCTCAAAGGGCTCCTTTGCAAGTAGGTGCCCAGCTGCATCACCACTCACATTCTGCTTTGATTGCTGCGCTGTTAATAGGCAGATAGGGATGTCTTGCAGCATGCCAAGGGCGCAAGATATCTCGACATAAACGTCTGGCAATTCTTGTCAGTTTTGTTGTATGGAGATAGAAAGCTTGTCGTGTCTTCATAGCAAACTTGGGACTCCCACTGTTTCGTACTGGCACACCATGAGGACTCTAGAAAGAAAGAAAAAGAAATATGGTTTCTAAAAAATAATTATTAGAAAGTATGGTTTTAAAGAAAAGAAAGAATATCATACAAAATCACTTTCAACAACTGATTCACAGACATAAGAACAGAAACAGTATTACAGCTGAAAATATTTTCAGCCCAGCTATTCCCCATTTCCCAAATCTTACCCATCAACGTTTGGAATTTTCTTCCAAAATATCTCAAAGGATAAAATGAACGTAAACATTTTCTCTTCACAGGGATGTATTTACTGTCCCAAGTGCTGTCCCAAGTTTTAAGGCAGGGATCCAAAAGCCAGACCTGAAGAAGTTACCTGATGCTATCACACAATTTAGTGCTTACAGAGCCAACAGAAAGACTCTCAGACTTTGGGTGCTTAGATTTGCTCTGGATATACAATGCAAACTCCTTATAAAAAAGCATTTGTACGAGGGAGAGAAAAATCAGAAAGTAGCTGTATGGCTAAAATATACATCATAAACTCACTTCCCAAAGCAAATTTACAGCATGCAAGAATGTTTTTGTCTCAAAGTTGCAAGAATTTCTGTTTTAATTCTTACTCTGAACTCAATGAATGCATTTACAGAGTTGTCAAATATTCACTGCATGTAATAAAGAATAATACTGAAAGATGTTTATCTACTACAGAGAGCAAAAGCAGTATTTCTTCATGAAAGCAACTAAGTCAACCAATAAAATAATGAAAGTAGTATCTTGTTATCTCAAACCTGCCCACGGTTGGAAAATAGGAGGAAATTTCAGTTTGGGGAGAACAAGGCTTTCCCCTCTCTGACTATTTACATACTTTTTAATTAACAAATAAGAGGAATAAGTCTGATAAAACCTGGCAGTTATCTCAGCAATTAGGTAGCTTCAGAGGGCAAACAGACGCCTGGAAAGGACAGAGGTTAAACGAAAGAAATAGAATAGAAAGGGAATGATAGCAAAGACTAGGAGAGAGGAAAGAAATTAATCTAAGACCAAAGTTCAGTGTGCACTCTCCTTCGGTCCATGTGATGCAGCTACTTTTTCAAATCAGCTTTGATGCTGTTTGAAATCAGCTTTGATGCTGTTTCAAATCAGTATGATGTTTCCAGACTGAACTTCCACCAAATTCAGAAAAATTCTGAGAGTTTTGATTTTTAAGTAAAAGGGGAAAAATTAAACAGAAGCAGCTCATACAATGCTTACTCAAAACCTACCCAAAAGAAGGAAGATTAATTAAAAAAAAAAAATAGGATGAAGTAGAAAAACAAGAAAAGGGATCTCTAAAAAGCCACTAGCTATTTGGGGTATCTAATTTTGAATGTGCCTTGGGAAAGGGAACAGGTTTCAGGAAATAATAAATTCCTTTATTGAAAAAAAAAAAACCCAACCAAAAACCAGTCCTCTTCCCCTACAGCAAAAATCATGGAAACCAAATACCAGAAACACTGGCTGGCATTTCAGTTTTTTCCATCTTCATTAAGCTAGCCCATGCATTCGATGGCTAGTTTGCTAAACAAATGATGTTTTTTTTTCTCAGGGCAGTACTTGGCAACGAATTACTTATAGCTGAAGTTAACATGCCAACTTTTGCAAGACATGAAATACCAAACCCAAGGACAACAATGGAGGCTGAAAGCATTCTTTTTGTTGTTAAATATTTAAGAACAGTGAACAATTAGTTAGATATCATGGCACCTAGCTTTCCAGGCAAGAGCACCGAGCAGTCTGCTTTGCAGATACCTACCAAATTATTGCGGTTTGGTCCTGGTCTCTCCCCATCTAACCGTGTTGGCATTTTCAAGCCACCGTATTTCTTCCAGTACGTCCAACAGGATGCACAGAGGCGACACTGCATGTTAGGGGGACCCCAAGAATACCACTGGTAAGACTGTGTGGCTAGAGATAACAAAGGTGGAAATTATATATATCCTTAAACAGGATCACTTTACAGAGCTTATTCTCTTTAGAACCATCACAAAAGAAAACGCACACAAAGACAGTGCAAAGCTCAAACAAACCTTAAAAACCTGATGATGGCTTCACTGTCATCACCACTGTTAAATGCACTTGTGATTTCAGCAGAAATAATTACATGTATAAACCTCTTTTAAAACATGAACAGAAAAAAACAACTAGTAGGATAGGAAAATTTCCTGCCAATGAAACTGAAAGCTCTCGTTTTGCAAGACTGGTAGACAACAATTTCTGCAGAGCACGGGAGAGAGGGAAGATTGTCTTCAGGAACTCCCCATACATTAATTTTACAACTAAAGAACATAAGAAATCTGTGACTTGACTTCTCATATAGTCCTACATTCCAGCATCTCTAAAGGCTTCCCATAAAGGAGCACAATCATTAGAACTCAGTATATCAATATCAGACAGCAGACCAAATACATTGATATCACATATTTTGAAATCTACTAAAAAATTATGAAAAAATTGTCAAGTTCACACCGTGTTGATTTAAGTATTTGCTCAACAGCTACCTAAAATTACGCAGGACATTTACTAACTCCCCCTTTAGTACTTCATAATTTTATTTACAAATGTAACACCAGTAACCCAAAAAACCGCTTTGCTTAAATGCTGCTATGTCAAATTCTGTCCATCCGTCCCTGTCCCCCCCCTTCCAAAGCCTTCTCTCCCACCCCCCACCACAACAGAGCTTTTATTTTACTGTTTGCAACACAACATTCACGCTCTCTATGCACAACTGCCATACTGGCATGTCACTTACTATAACAGCTTTCACAGGCCCGTCCTGCTCCCGTGTTCTGTGCCTGTACTCCAGTACCATTTACCACTCCTGGTTTGACATTATTTACATTGATCTGGTTGGGGTTTGGCTTGTTACTTAAAACACAAAGCAAAAAAGGAGGTCAAACATTAATTGAGGCATGCAATTTCCTATGTGACTTAAAAAAAATATGGCCCAAAATGTTTGAAGATTTAAATTTTGTTCATCGTGTGGCTTCCAGAACAAGCTGTACTTACCAGCAATCTGACTTCCATGAACACACTGTCTCAGATAATATTTAAATAATGCCGATAATAAAAACAACTATAATAATAGTTAGATGCCATTTTCAAGAGTCCAAAACCATTTTAAAACAATAAACCAGTGAAGCCAGGTATCTTACTCACTATCCCAGACATTCTAACCTAGGTGACAAAAAGATCTTATCTACAGATCTCCCTCAGTCCTCAACATGAGTGGTATTTTACTTAAATCTCCAAAAAGAAGCCTGGGGGAAGAAGCAGTAGAGGTAGATGGAGAAAGGTCAACCCCTGCCTTATTCAGGGAAAGATAACCCTAGACTGCAGTCACAAATATTTCCACGTTATCTTACTGCAAAGGTTTGTATCATATAGCCACAATTCGCACAAGCACACCCAACTCATTGAACAAAATCTTTGGACATAGCGTATACACAGAGATATTCATGAGTATGAGCCTTCTGGCAAGTCTTAAACTATGGTCTGTGCTTCTACTAAAAAGTATTGAGGTTTCTACTGAACAGAAAAAGTCTGAAAGCTTAACATCCACAGAGCAAGAAATGATGGCTATCACTAATACATTATAATACAACAACTTCTGAATCACCTCATCTCATCCCTATACTCTCTTAAAAATGATGACTCGAAAAAAAAAGGTACTGGCAGGATCTGAGAATGGAAGGGCAAACAAAACCTTGGCATAGAAGGCAGTATGGAATAGTACAAAACCTCTGCAGAGGAAGAGATGTCAGAGTGGGAAAAGGAGGTGTTCAAAAAAATCCTTGGCATGGGAGGGAACAAGAAGGCCAGAGAATTGATATTGCAGGGACAGGACTTCTGGGGAATGGAGGAAGATGGGATAAGTCACACAAGAAGTTTCAGAGAAGAATACACAACGAGCTTATAAAACACGCAAGGATTCCCAGGTGCTATTAGGAGCTCAGCTTATAGAAGCAACAAAAAGTAGGCAGCCTTTGGTGCCAACTTCTGACCATAAGCCCAAATTGTAGTACCGATTAAATTTCCCATATATTCTCTTACCTGAAGACTGAAGGGAGTGGGCATATTCCTTTTATTTCCAACTAATAAAACCACAATTTGGAATCCACTTATTCAAGCAGAAATATCTTAAAATAGCTTTCTGAAAACACATTTTCTTATATATCAGTTGCACACTGATACAGGAGTCACAGTGACTTCAGTGACCCAGAATACTTATTACTTTTCACCCTGGCTAGCGCTGCAAAAACAGCATTGTGGGAATATGGCCAAATTAATTTCTTTCTAATGGGGCATCAATATTAGGTTTCACGTTCTCAGCAATGACCCCTGAAAGCAAAGGAGTTCCAAGTTACTGAATTCTGAAGACAACTGGCCCTTGAAGCTCCAGAACAAACCCAAACGCTACTGGAAAGCTTACACTGCCCTGGAAGCGGGAAGGTCATCCTTCTCCTCATTTGAAAATGTATGATCAGGCAGCGAGATACAGAGCTCAGTAAAGCCCCATTTCTAGAGGCAAAATAGATTCTGTAGTGAATGTCCTGTAAGGACCACACACACATTGCATAAGGAGGTAAGAGAGTATTTGCCCAGTCCAAGCAAAACTTCAGATAGCATTCTGATGGTGCTTCCTTCTTGTAAAGTTCAGGGCTTTCTGCAGAAGAGAAAGCTTAGGAGGCTAAGCAGCACAGAAATACACAGAAATACAGAAATAGTTTGGTCCTTCAGTACACTGAGCAGCCCATACACAGACCAAAAGAAGCAGAGAAGAGAAAAAAAATAAAGGCATTTAGATTAACAAGCCTGATTAGGTTTTCTTCTCCTTTTGCTTATTAATTTGCCTGGCTCTCACAAGGATTAAAGTGTTTCGGGGTGCTTATTAGAATGGCACGAAGTTCTGACACCACAGATGGCAGGAGATATGCAGACACATTTAACAAAGGGAAAGTTGAAAGAGGGTACATTCACGCTACCCAGCATTTTGCTCTGGGATGTCACTATAGTAACCTGCTGCAAAAGAACTTTTGCCAATGATTCACTAGCAGACTCCATGTGCAAACATTACCAAGATGCTGTAGAACAAACAGTCCTCACAGATGCACACTGTTAAAAGCAGCGTTGGTCAATAGACAGAGTAAAAGACTGAAGTAAAGAAAACTAGGGTTCCACTGCAGGTCTTACGGCTCAACATCAGACATGCTGCTTCCCTTCTATACACTTATTTATCCTCTGAAAAATGCGGTAAAGGAGTCTTAAATCCATCAGTGAAGCACACAAAAAGGTTTTGGTTTTTTTGAGCAGCATGCCTGGAAGCCCTGGTGTGTCTGGTTGTAAACAGTAAGTTGAGAACAAGACTGCACACGTTGACATGCACATCCAAAGTACTAAGACCATGTGCAGAAAGGAGGGTGATGGCCTGACTCTGTTGTCCTCTCTACAACCCTTATCAAACTTGTATTTCATAGAATCATGAATGGTTTGGGTTGGAAGGGACCTTAAAGATCATCTAGTTCCAACCCCCCTGCCATGGGTAGGGACACCTTCAACTAGACCGGGTTGCTCAAAGCCCCATCCAACCTGGCCCTCAACACTTCCAGGGATGGGGCACCCACCACCTCTCTGGGCAACCTGTTCCAGTGTTTCACCACCCTCATAGTGAAGAATTTCTTCCTTATATCTAATCTAAGTCTACCCTCTTTCAGTTTAAAGCCATTACCCCTTGTCCTACCACTACATGCCCTTGTAAAAAGTCCTTGTCCAGCTTTCTTGTAGGTCCCCTTCAGGTACTGGAAGGCCGCAGTAAAGTCTCCCTGGAGCCTTCTCTTCTCCAGGCTGAACGATCCCAACTCTCTCAGCCTGTCTTCATAGGAGAGGTGCTCCAGGCCTCTGATCATCTTCGTGGCCCTCCTCTGGACTCGCTCCAACAGGTCCATGTCCTTCTTATGTTGGGGGCCCTAGAGCTGGACGCAGTACTCCAGGTGGGGTCTCACCAGAGCTGAGTAGAGGGACAGAATCACCTCCCTCAACCTGTTGGTCACGCTTCTTTTGATGCAGCCCAGGATATGGTTGGCTTTCTGGGCTGCGAGCACACGTGAAAGGGATGCAGGGGTGAAAGCTGATCACCAAATCACACTGATCACAAAATTGTCACACTGTAGTTGTGATGGTAACTTCACTTCAGAATTTTGGAACAGTACAATTAATGTATCTGCAACAAGCACCAGAAAGTGTCCTGTTCCAAAGCTACGGTCAGGTGTCACAGTGGCAGTAACAAAATTCAGGCAACTAATGTCTTCATCATATGAGAAGCAAAAAGCTCTTAATTGTTGTTATGTTAATTAAACCTGTTTGATATCACTGAAGACTGCTACAGCTATTAACAAGAAAATTAAACGAGTAACTGGATGACTTGTTAGACAATTAATGAAGCTGAAGTGAAAGATGCAAATAAGGTAGTGTGAATACCGATGGTGCGGTAAACTATCATTTCCAGTTCTTACATCAAGAATGGAAGTCTTTTAAATGGGTTTCAATTGCGCTGGAGCAGTCAGTTATGCTAGAACAGGGATCACAAAGTGCAGACTTCTGGGCTGTATTCTGCAGGAGATCAATTTCAACTAAAGAGACTAAGGTGATAAAGCACGTGCAGAAAGAAGGCACTGGAAGCCAGCCATCATGGACTGAAGCCCCTGCCCAAAAAACCCAACCTGAAGATAACCCTGAGCCACGCAGAACACTGAAATCCCTTCACTATATGACTGGCTAGCATTTCACCCACAGCACAGTGATAAAGCTTTAGCTGTTAAAAATAACTATAAGCAACACCATCAGTGAATGTTTCCTGTTATTCAGGAAACTGTAGTGGTGCTAGATGCAACAGAACAATTAAGAAATTAAGGCTCAGAAATAAGAACATTTTTTAATCCTTTGTAAGGAACATTTATGCCATCTACCTCTAGGCATATAACACAAGCGTCTGGATTCCTTATCCAAGACAACAGAGGGGTGAATTCTCATCACAGGCTACTGTAAATACCCACTTCTAAGAACAGGTCTAATGACTGCTAAACAATGCTTTTTGAAAATGAGAAGCTTTCTCCAACAAAATACTGAAGATCGCCATTTTAACTAGCACAGCTACAAAAGAAAGAACAGCATTACACCTTTACGTTTTCTAGGCTGCAATGGATCCCTGCACAACTAAACAAGGAAGGAAAAAAAGTCTTGCTCCTCAGACAGAGGACAACCAACAAACAGACAAAGGAATTAGCTTCAGCTTGTTAACCATTGCCCCTTCTAGTCATCCAAAGCTTTGACCTATTCCTCCAATTTCCCTATTCGCTTAAAAAAAAGAGGCAGGGTAAGGAGAATAATATTTCCCTACTTTACAAGTGTTTGCAAGGCAGCATTTGCAGCCTGTCAAAGTGCTTTGAGATTCTCAGATAAAGTACTGTAAGTAGAATGTACTAATTTACATTTACAGATGTAAATTTAAAATTTACATTTTACATCAATACATTTTGAAGACTGGGGAGTGTATGGAGCACTTCATTCTTCCCTTTCTGTTCTTACCCCTTCTGATATCACTTAGATCAAAGCAAAAGAGAGAAAAGCCACACAAAATTTTATGTCTCAGCCTTCATGATTTGCAGATGTCCTAATCCCAAAAAGCACCAGCTACACAACCAGATCGTCATCAAAAAGAAGCAAGTAACTAGTACGTATGATGTCCGCAAGATTAGTAAAACCAGAATATAACTTCCACAACAGCCTGAAGAATATGTTTGGGTACACACTAGAAGGAGAAAGAGACTGAGACTACATCTGCAACAAGAAAGGTCTCCGAGCCCCGCATTCACACTGGTGGATGACAGGATGAAGTGTACAAGAAGATGGAATCTCTTCATGCATTCAGGCTTCTGCTGCTGCTTTATTTAACACCACTCCCACTGACAGAGAAATTGCTACAGAAAATAACGAGAAGATTTTTTCCAGTATTTCCTGAATACAGATTTCAACTGATTTTATACTTTTTCCTTTCACCAGGAAAGCACATTAGTGCTTTTCAACCCAAGGGATGCATTACAAAGCCATGCATACAAACACTGGGTTCAGTCACATCAACTACAGATGTCTGTCCAAAACCAGGGTTGTTCTTGGAAGGAGCACAGAAATGTTTTTCCAATATCTAGGATGTTGGTTTAGGACTTGATAACCTCACATCAATTACCTGTATGACTCTTCCATGCTTCAGTTACCCACGTTATAAATTTGGGGCACAGTCTCAAGTTAAGAAATATCAACTCTAAAGCTTCACATAGACCTGTTATTTTTCACTGTATAATATGTATGTGACATGAGAAATAACCTTTGAAGACCGCTTCTATTGGTTTTCTAATTATTTTCCTCCTCTCTCCCTAGATTTTCCTATTATCATCACAAGAACAAATGAGACTCCTATCAGTAGAAGACAGCCAGAGACAAAAAAAAAAAAAAAAAAAAAAGGAGGTAAAATTGAGTCTGATATCCTCCGGGGTCTCTCTTTGCAAACAATTTTACACCAGTTATTGTTAGAATAGGTTTCACTCAATCAGCTGATACGCTTCTGCGTAGGTCTTGTGACAGCCTACATCAAGTAATTTATTTCTGAAGTGACAAGTGGATCATTACGGTTCAAGCCTCGAAACAGGAACGGGCTCAGTAACATGATAAGGACAAATCAATAACATTGATATTTAGATCCCTACACCAAGTATTGCTATTACAAGCCAAGAATATAATCTTCTTCTAGGTCACAAGATAATGTAGATACAATCCATTCCCTATGTGCCAGACCTTGTACTGAAACTTGAGTAGAAATAATCCAAAAATCTTAGAAATACTTAATTGTTGCCACATTTGGAGGTATTAACAGCAAAAAAGCAGTAGAAGCATTCATGTGGGATTAAATAAGTCATGTACGCAATTGCTACCTTTCCTGATACACATGAAAGGATATTGAAGGAGGAGGAAAATTTGATAGCCATTTTATCAATTAAACAATATGTAAGTTAAGGTATAACACTCACAAAATCAACTGTGACTGGAAATCAAAGCCAGAGACAAAAATAGCAACCACATGGGTAGAGACAGAAGTCTCTTCCTGAAGTAGAGAAGTTGCTGATTTGATTATATTCTCTAGATAGCAACAAGAATTATCTTGCTGAGATACAGTGTTGAGGGTTAAGATACCACTCCAGCCAGCCATTATCAAATGAGCACCATAACCTTTCAAATACAAAGCCCTACCTACCTACATTATAATCCAAGAGCAACAGCAAGTCTACCAGGCTCTCTCGTCTGCAATATCCTTTCGCACCCGCAGTCTAAATTACATTGGCTTTTGCTTTACGAGCTTATCACATTGTGAATTCATGTTTAATTTGATGTCCAGTGTCCCCCTGAAGAGTAACACCATCCACAGAAAGCAATATTACACCTAATTTTTAGTAAATTCACCTGAGAGATATCAACATTTTCAAAGCAAAAAAGAAATCAGGGATCCTCTATTTGCACAAGAAATAAGGGACTGTCTTGCAAGCTAAATATGTAAAACTTAGTTTTGCCTTAAGTAACAAAACACATGGTAGAAGTTCATAAATATTTGAAAGGAGATAGCATAAAAGAATAAAGGAGTTATTTGGGCTAATACACATGGGAACATATCTGGGAGAGAAAAGTTGAAAAAGAGAAAGGACAGGGGAGATTTAAAGTTCCACACTATAACAACTTGCTGACTGGGTTATGCAGAGGGAATACAAAAGAAGAAACACATTTTACTAAGAATTTTTATTTTTTATATATATTATATATTAATTGTAATATAGTTCTATATATGAATTTATATATATCTAAATTACATTAGGAAACAACCACACATTGGTGATCCACCGATGACAAAAATTAATAAAAACAGATATATTATTGAGTAGTTAATTAGCTACCCCTTTGTTCATGACTGTGCTGACCTGCTACCAAGCCTCCAACTCCCAGTCCACATAAAAATAAATATTAGAAGATAAGTAACGGTCACTTCTAGATGGGAACATTATACAGGATGAAGGAAACAAGCAACATGACAGCACAGCATCCTAACCAGGAAAGCCCCAAAGGGAAAGTCCTCAGCTGCCCATGGAGGAAATAACCTGTGCTCCAGAAGTGGAAGGTCAGCATGAGGGAACAGCTTTGCCTTTTACACGCCCATAACCAGCAGCGTAAGCATACTGGGAGGACTGCTGCTTTGTTCTAGCCAGCTTTGAAATACCAGAGCTATCGTTTTCTTCCACAGGGCTCCTAGCTGTTTATTAGCATCAGGGTGGTTAGCATTAACTCAGCTAAAATACAAAGGAATTCAAGCCTATTCAAGCATCAGCAGAGGGTTCGTTACATTGGTAACCTAATTTAATAGTTCTCTGACATGTTTGTTCAACTATGTCTCTCAGTATGTATTAAAGCAAATACATAATACTGGCAGGCCATGGAAACTGCTACACCAGACCCTCTACAATGAAATAGAAAACAGTACAAAAAGATACTTACTAGTTGGGTATATACACTTGTTTTAGCTTGCTTTCTGCTTCTGCTGCTTTCAATCGTTTCTTTAAAAAGAAAAGAAAAAAGAAAAAAGTTAGAATAAAATGAAAATAAGGACTACTCTACCTGGGAGTCAAGTAACATACCTGTAAAAACTTTAGCACTTATTAACAAACAATGAAGTTTTCCTTTCACTGAGCAGCTAACAAAATCATTTTCCAACAGGAAAATATCCACTGAAAACAATTGCAGGCATCAAGTGACTACATACACAGCTTTCCAAAAAAGTCAAAAGAGATGACAACCTACTATTTATAAGGAGAAACTTTTCAGTCCCATTCACTTCAATACAATTTCATGCATTGCTCCTCCCACAGCCCTTTTTTTTTTTTTGCGCAGAGGAAGATCTGACATATCAGTCTGTGTTCGTTCTCCATGATAATATTCACCAGTTGGACAATAGCAGGTGTAGTAATGCACCCTCTCCATCGTATCTCCTCAACAGCTGAACCAATTCAGAGTTTGGACAAAGACTTTTTTGATAATAGTCCTCATTTTTGAAGACAGAGTGACACAGGAGATCATCTTTAAAAATTAAAAATGCCAAGAGCTCAACTCAAAACCGATGCAGAATTACCTAACAGATTTTTTTTTTTAAATTATGGTATGTCATCACTTCTGACTAGACATTAGCCATGGGCAACCTGTACATTTGCACTTTGTAAAGGTGAGCAGCTCTAGGTACACAAACACTATGAGACAAAAAGGAAATAAACCCCAGGCACATGTGTGAAATCTCAGGGGACACGTAGCAAAGAACATTAAGGGGGTAAAAAGGGGAGAAGCTAACTAGACCAAACAACCAGCCCCTAATGCAAAACACCATTGCCAGGAGATATTAAGGAACATAAGAGATGTGTTTAAGGGAAAACACATACAAGAAGCAGACTTTCAAGAGCATCTGTTAACTTCTGTCCACATTTCTGGAGTAAATGGATCCTTTCAATGGGATGTATAGAGTAAATTCCCCCACAATACTACTGCTTTTTTTTTTTTCAGCTACAGCTGTGAACTTGCTGATAGCCCACAGAACGTGGCAGAAGTAGGCAATTACCATGAGCTTTACTAACTGGCCAAGAATTCCTTTTATGACTCAAACCTTTGCACCATTTAAAAAGTAAAAGAGATGTTCTGAGGTTCAAGTTTTCTCTTTATTACATAAGCTAAATTAATTTAGGGTGAACATCTGGAGGCCTCTAGTCCAACCCCCTGCTCAAAGCCAGGCCCATGCCAACATCCATGCTGGTAACAGCAGTCTGCATAAAGCCATGACAATGTTTTCCAGACAAACCAGCAGCATGGTGATATTCTAGACAAACAGATTAGCTTAACATTTTCTATGCAGCAGCCTGAACGCGCAGTCTAGGAAAATAATTGTAAAGCTAAAGTCAGTATCTTCATACACACAAGAAGCACCAGAAAATGTAATAAAATTGAAGAGTGTGTCACTGAGGAACTGGACAAACATAAAAATCCTTTTTACAGGGGCTCAATGGAGACACATAGAAACAATAAGTAAAAGTTTCCCATAAGCATAAAGCTTGCTTTGATCAGAGGGACAGTCTTAAGCAACAGTTTTCTATTTGACAGCCTGAGAGTTCCTCACCAAAGCCCTCTAGACTCCTAAAGAATTCCCCTCTTACCCTTTCCTGCAAATAAAAGTCAACCCATCTTAGAAATCAAAGAATGAAGTTGTCAGACAAGAGAACAAGGACTGAGAAAACAGAACTTCTGAAAGTTATCCAGAGACTGTAGGTACACCTTCAAAGAGCCGCATCCAGAAGCTGACTTCTTTCTGCCGGTGCAAGCAAGTTTCCCAGATTGCTTCTGTTAAACCTCATCTAGGACAAGGACAGCTACCCGAAAACTGTCTTCAAGAAAACCAAGATGAAGACTTCATGGAGATGATCCTTATCAATCCCACAGACTTGGGGAAATCAATAATACACATTGTACTGGCAACCGGTGATGGGACTAAAAAGGTTCTCCCTCTGAATACAAACCACAAATTCAAAGTTGAACATTTTCAAAACACCCTGCTCCAAGTCTTTTTATGCAAGAAACCAAAGCATCCAATGATGGGCCTCAAAAAGTGCTTGTGACAATGGTTCTCCAACAGCATCAGAAACCCTCCTCTATCTTCCAGAGACACACTACCCCCCAAAAAAAATCATCCTTCAAGACAATGCACACTCTCAGGTGCATTTCTGCTCATGAACTGAAGGCTGTTCCACCTACAGCCCAGGCTGAAAAACAGGTCTTCTCTCCCCAAGCACAGACTACCACGGGCAGTTATGTCAGCAGACAAACAGCCACAGAGCTCACTCTCCCCAGGAATTACAAGAAAGTCCAACATCAGATACGGATAAACAGCTTAAAATACTGGTTGATGAACTTTGTACAAGAATCATATTTCCTTGAGGCCAAAGCAGGAAATTCAGGGAACCTCCACTGGTAGAGAACTGGGTGGTGGCTTTTTTTTATTTCCACTAGATTTCTAGATTGTGGTGGAAAAAAGCTACAGTTTTCCTGACAAAAGCTCCCAAGGGGACTATCTAGAGTCATTATGTTATGATAGTTTTGGAAATCTATGAATGGAAAAAGCTTCATGCAAGCACAATGCATTACCAGCAGCTGAAATATTCTACTATCCACAATGTAAAGTCATTTGCCTTGGAGACATGGTTAATTTAGGGTACTAAGCAACATTTTAGTAAACTGGTGATGAATGTTAACCTCACACCACAGATTTTCTTTGTGATTGATGACCATGGTGCTAACTCTGAGCGAACAACTGCCGTAAGTCACCTGGACCTAGCAATACCCTCCCTCTCCTACAGCTGCTGCCTGGGGATCAGTGCAGAGCACAGACATACAGCATACACCTTTATTAAAAACTAGTATACCAGGAAAATGGAAGGTTTTCAGAAGGTACCACAATGTACTGAATAAGAAGAGGTTGGTTTTGCACTAAGTACTTGCAGCTGTGGACAATCAATAGACCAGATATGATGAGTTTCCTATTTTCTGACAGTGACTGATACCAGAAGGTACAAAAGAAAGGTGCCTGAAATGTAGTCATGCACAATTTCAGAATAATCCCTTCACAGAGAAAGTGCTTTGCTAGGTCCTTTGCCAGTTATTAATTGATTTGTGCCTGAAGCATATTTACGCTATAAATTCTTAATGTTGTCTGATGTAGTTATGAATGTCCTCATCCACAAAAAAACCCCTGAACATTTCTAACTTTTTCTAGTAGTTTGGGCTAAATGCAATCTTTTGTCTTTGAGGTATTTATATATGCACATCTTAAGGATATTCTCTTATTTACCTCATCTATAAAGCGGAGATATTACCAACTTGTCTATCCCAGAGGGACCAAGGGATTAAATTACTGAGCACTGTACATTTGAGTTGGTGCAAACATCTGTCCTTCATATATCCTCTCCCTAGATTTAACATCTTTCATTCTACCCACTGAGCTTGAAAAGAGTTTTATAATACGTGATGTATCAGAGCAAGTGTTTGTGGTCATTTTCTAAAGAGTGAACATTTATAAAGAGGAAATAACAGAAGAAATCCAGGAACGCAGGGGATATTTCAAGGTCTGCAACGCAAAAGTCAGGTTGGTAGACAGTATGGGGACACCTCAAACATCCTCAAATATTAAGCCTTTATTAGTTGATGATGAGGAAGATAGCCTCTAAATCGCATTTTCTGGATTTAGAGAACTTTCACACTTTATTCTTTTTCAAAACTGTGAACACACGAGTGCTGCTGGGAGGCAGGGGAGGTGGGACAGAAAAGGTAATTAGTCCACGGTGCATCTGGGAGAAGTGTTTCCAGCTGCTTGTGCTCCAGCAACACATCTCAGCACTGATGTGTGGTACCTACGGTCTCCATCACTTGCTTGCCAAAACTGCCATAGTTCCATGTTACTGTAGGCTTAACAGGAGGTGTTTTGGGGATAAAATGTCCTATGTATACAGAAAAACATTTCTTTGATGTTATTTCTACTTTGCTAGCACACAGTACTTTATGAAGCCTAGTACATTAAGATGTCACTCTCAGCTCTTGGCTAGGTACAAAGAAGGTTTGCTTTCCTTAATAAAGATGTTTTCTATCTACATCAAGATTTACCCAGAGCTCCCTCTGTTAAGCTCCCTACCTCATGTAGTCAGATATAATGGCACTTCCACTTTCTCTGGTATCTTCTCAATACTGTGCTTACCTTAAAACTGATTTTGTCTTTCTCCTACACTTTTCTAATGGCACTTCCACATAACAAATAGAACAGTAGAAATTCATAATATTTGATCTTCCTCTTGAAGTTACATGCTCCTCAAGCACAAATAAAAATGCAAAAAATAAATTAAAGCCTTCAACTTTCAGAAAGCACATGACTAACTCAGTCATCTGCCACTGCCATGTCCTGAGCTCTTCTCAGCTGCATCTCAACAGTTGGAAAGTGTCATATTTTAACTTTTCAGGACTTCCCCTCATGATATGCACAGGAGAAGCATTTAAAGATCTTGGGGAAAAAAAAAAATCACCCTGGAATTCACAACTACACCTTTATTTTGAATGAAAACGTAGGCATACCCAAACATCACATCAACTCTTGAAGACTGGGGGAAGCCACCAAACAGCAGTTGCTCAGTGGATGCCATTTCAAACCTTTCTGAATCAGAAATATATGCTCTTGTGAATTGACACAGGAAATCTGTCTCAAGAAAAGGTTGCATTCAAAGGAGACACGGGATACTGAGTTTGGAATGCATCGCCCTCTTTTTCTTCAGAACTCTGAAAGGGTGTCTTTGATAGGAAAACTCTTGGGATCGCTTTGGACAGACGTTCAGGAGCCTACATCAGACCACAAATTCTGTGTTGACATTGCAGTAGAATTACCCTTCTAGCAGTTCTGTTCTTGGAGGGTCAGTCCTTCTCTTGAAATGATTGAACTCCTAATTACGATGGTAACCTTCAAAAGTACGGTATAGCTGAAGCCAAATAAATCTCTTACTGGATAAAAGATCCAAGTGCATGCTCCAAAACAAGTCAATTTGAATGTATCTCACAGTATCCTACTCACAAGACATGGAAGTGCTGTATTAAGCCTTTCAATCTTAGGTATACCAAACATAAGTATACCTTATTGTTCAGCTCCGAGAAAGGGTCTTCTGTTGAAGCCAACTCAAAATTTAGCTTCCTCAATGGCAAGAAACAGATGGATTCTGCTTCAGGATTATGACAGTGCTTTCTTGCTCCAAGAAAATCTCAAAGGAAATACAGAAGGATGTAAACAGTTCCCAACTAACTGTTTTTCATCAAAGCAGGCAATTGGCCGATGACAAAAAACTTCATTACTATGTTGTGCAACTCACAGAAACAGACAGTTTAAATGGACGTTTTTATGTTCATTCAGCCAAAGATTCTACAAGAATGAGAAAGTTATCAGTATTTTTTTAAAAGACAATAACATACAGCCTTGGAATATAATTTAATCATCCTCTTAGAAGGAAGGCAAGTGAAAGTGAAACAACTCAGGATACACACTTTTCATATCCTTACTTAGCACATTTTCAATATCTCATTACAAAAATGCTGTTAGCCCCAGAACGATTTTGTGGCATTAGACTAACGGAAGAATCTACACAGACAAAACACTGTGAAGAAACAGATGGAAGAAGTGGTGAGGGATGTGCTTTGCCAAAGACTTTGCACACATCAAGTAAAATATAAATGTAATACACCATTATTTCAACTACAACTTCCTATGCTTTCTTTGTGGTTATATATAGATAGCTCTCCCAGGCTTTTTATAAATGTTTAATAGTATTATTTGCTTGTACAAGCTGGGAATTTGAGATGAGGTCTTCAGCTCAGTTCAGGCTTACTTGATGCGATATCTCTGTACTGCAGTTTCTACCTGTTTGGCTTATACTCATACTGTCTCCTAAGTGCAGAGCCTCTAATTCGAAGTTTTCCCCAAATCCCTGGTACACTGCTGGGCAGCATATGTAAGGTAGAGTAAAACCATGATAGAAAACCCACTGCATAGGAATACAGGAAAACAGTACGAGAAACTGTAGGGTTTGGGGGTTTTTTAATTGCTGCAAGAACAAATAATCAGTGTCTTTCACGCAACTATCCTCTCTGCAATTTTGTCCACGTAATAAGAAAGTTCAAGAAAGTGGAAAAAGCAAAAGAATTTAACCACTTCCTAATCAAGGCACAGTTTCTCCAGTTGTTTTGCCTTCCCAGTACATAGGCCTGGAAGAAAACACCCGGGACACTATTCCGATCTCTCTCCTATGGTATCCAAAAGTGAACACGAAAGAAACTGCTCCCTATCCCTTATTCCCACCACCACCACTGGTACATACCTCAAGATGGGCAGAAACAGAACTTCACCGTTGCAAACATATTGTGGACTTTCTGAACAGTATAGAGATGCTTTTTGGTTTAGTCTTTCCCAAGAATTCCTACTATTGTTTGCTGTTCTGACTGCGCAGGGGTAACATTTTCATGCAACAGCCTAAGATTCTAGTTTTCACTGACTGATAAAATAACTTGTCTCACTTTTTCTGATACCTACCATGTTGCTAGATGGATTTTTATCACTTAAAGAAGTGAGGTGAGATAAAAGACGCAGGGAAGAAGATAAATGGATTCCTCTCAGTGCAAATATTGAGTGTAGTACAGGCCGAGTACACTCAGCCATTGTCTCCTAAACAGCTGTAGTCAGACAGCATAGCAGCACTCACTATATCAACGATACACACAGTTCAATGGCGAAGGAAAGGCCATGACCTCATTTCTCCAGCACCTTTCTTCCCCACCATGCCAGCTTCCATCACCACCCCACTTTCCTACCACGCATTTCCCTACTAGAAGGAAAAGTTTCAATCAAAGAATGAACTTGGAGAAATATTGAAATGAGGATGCAGTTAATATTTTTTCTTTTAAAAAGGAATACAGAATTGATGCAAAAGAGTTCTCATTTGTCCTGAGGATCCCTCTGTAATTTAAATAGTGTTCCAATCAGAAAGAAAATAGTTAAAATCACATTACAGACCAAGGTGCCCAAATATAGCACATGCCAAATATTGGTCAATGCCTCAGGCATCTAGTCTTTATCCCAGGCTGAATTTCCAATGAAGCAAGTTAAGGCAGGACATTTTTATAACCCCACTTTTTCTAATACTTCAAATAGATGCTTAAACATAATACTGATAATTATGAAAAATCCATTATATACTTCTCCCTTGTTTTAATTAATTTTCCCATTAAATATTACAAATAGTTTTCAGCAACTGATACTCTGCAACATTTTACATGCTGCTTGCCCTGTGCTTTCTTTATTTAAGGGACCAAGCAGCCTTCGTATTTAAACAAGTAGAGATAAAAATGATTGTAAACACTAGTCAAAGTTGATTCTCAAGTATAACGAGTCTGGGAATTTGAGCCATCAACACTTCCCAGACAAACACTTGACTCGCAGTGCTTACATGGGGGAGCCTCCGTGCATCTGCAGTCAAAGTCATGGGCAGGCAGAGGTGGAAAATTAGCATGGGTGCCTGTTGCACAGCAACTGCCCACCATCCCATAAAAAGTTGAAACTGAAGTTAATGCTGACCTTGAATTCTACAGGCAGAAATTAACCATATTCCTTTCCTCAAACTGCTGAATTCCAAAACAGACATTTGAAAGCTCCAAACAAATAAAGTAGCAGCAAACATGAAAAGAAAGCACAAATGCCAGTGCTGCATGTTTGTATCTACGGAATGGCTGGTGAATTCAGTGATGAGAGATTGTTCAGTGCTTCAGATCATTACAGAAGCCACCTATTGCAAAGGCTGAACCCCCAAGAGGGAGAATAAAGCAACAATGCTTGGTTTCAAAGGCAAGAAAAACATCTTCTGTTAGAATGAAACAAGTGATTCTGACATCTGTCTGTAGTTTTCCACATATAGTAATATTCTATTATGCTTGTTAAGGACTTCCATGGGAGCTAGGGACATAAAGGAAAAGCAGCAGTCATTGCAGGGAGCTGGCACATAGCCTTAGTGAAATTCACAGGATTCCTTTGACAGACAGTTTATAGCAGAGTCTTGCAACTACTAACCCTCCTAACAAAAAAAGACAGTCAGTGTCTGAATCTCCTAAAGGCATTAGATGCACATGGGACCCATGTTAAATTAAATGCCCTTTCAAGAAGTAGTGCTTTTGGTGTAGAAGTAGAGCAGGTTACAGGTAAATCTTCATGCCGCATTGGCTCCACAGTAAACAATTCAAGAGAAGCACAATGTGGAAGGGAACCCACTGGCTCAGACTCTCTCTGCTTGAGCAGCAAAGACTCGAGCAAGAGCCACAACTACAGTATCACAGTTCTGATTTGCTTGGCTTCTATGGAGCTGGCCCATTAAAAAAAAAACCAAACCTACTAACAGAATTGTGCCCTGCCAGCTCTATTCTCTGCATGAGAAGCACGAGGATATCAGCAGGACCACAGAGAGTGTTGCGCTGTTTCCAAGTCCCTGTGTCTAAAAGATTAGAGCACGGGACAAGCAACACTGAAACTACGTGTTTTGTTCCAGAGGACTCGAACAGCGATACAGTGAAACTTGGTTCTCTTTACAGTGCTCCATTCAATCTGCAGGCTGAGCACCTAGGGTGGAGCTTTGGCCAAACTACAGGACACTTCCCTTGGATGCCCAAGATTCCTTTTTAAAACTTTCAAAAGGCCCCTTCTGAAATTGCATTACAAAAGTGACTAAATTTTTGCATTTCAGAAAGCCCAGTACTTATTCTCCTCCAAACACAAATTAATCTACAGCAGCTAGGCTGTCACAACACTTTCCTAAATCCTCCTTCAGCTGTAGTGGAGCAGATGATTTTAAATTAACGTCTCTAAAGGAAAAGCTATCATCTGTGATTTGAAATTCTGACTGTACAACAGGCTGTCATCAGTATGAGGTCTGCCTTTCCCAATTTACAGCAAGACACATGCTCTAGTTCAAAGCCCTCTTCTTCAACACGAAGAAAAAAACATAGTTTAGACAAACTGTAAACCAGTTCTGTCACTGATCAGAACTGGTCACCATGTGGGCCCTCATTTTATATACTTACAAAATCTTGCTGAATGTCAGTGAAGTCTTTTCCATATTTTTCTAGTGCTTCCTCAAAGAGGTTTGCCTCTGAAGCAGACCACTCCTCCATCTCATCTCTGCACAGGACTGGCCCACCTTGTGGCACAAGCGCAGAGATTGCCTTGGAAATGTCATAGACATTTTTGTGCAAAGTATCCATAGCATGGAACTACATGGTTGTAAAAGAGAAAGAGAAATGTAAGGACAAGCATCTAGAGGCAAAAAATGCTTCACAGTGAAACAGCAGTAACAAAAATCTGAGGGTGCGGTATTCTATACCTAACACAAAGTCAGTAAAAACTTGTTCCAACCTCAGACTCACTGTAATTGTCAGCGTACAAGTCTAACGTTCACTAACAGTAGTGGGGTTTGTGGAACACGAGCCCTTGCATATCAGTAATTCCCACTTAACTACTCACCAGCACCACCACTGTAGCACTACTGTTAAGAAAATGCGCGGGATAGAAACCCACTCACCCCAGGACTGAGCAGCCCTGTTAGGTACCATGCACAAATGGGGCATGAAGGTAGATGTCCGAGGGCATATTTTCTAATAAACTTAGCCATGCACTTTCTTTGTCAAATAATCCACAAAAATTGCATGTAAGAAAAATATTTAAGAGCAACACACACATACACTTCCTCCAAAGGCCACAAATCCCAAAAAGACTGAAGTCAAGTCACATATCATAGCTGAGTAGGAAAGAAGAATTACTCCCAAGAGCAATTACTCCTCAGAAAGCTAAGCTATCACTGTCTGCAACTTGTGATTTACAAGGGCTGAGAACACGTTGTGAGGGAGGAATTGGTATTAGTAAATGAAAGCTTGGCTTTATTTCCTGGTTTCTGTAGTTTTAATCAGAATGTTATTTGCTTTTCATCATACCAGTTTTGGGCACGTGCATAATTAATCTACAGTGTTTTATCCTAGAATTTGTTCTATATATGATTTCACATTATTCCAGTTAGGAGGCGAGGCTTTGATAACAGTTGTCTGGAGACTTCATAAATTTTATTCAGATTTTCATTAAACTTTCTCTAGCATAGAAGTTCATGTTTTCCCTTTCCTCTATCTACTCAGAATCATTTATGATTATAAAATATTAACAATGTCACCACTCCTAAGGTACTCTAAAATGGAGCTCGTCAAAGAGAAGAACATGATCAACTGCAATTTCTTATCTGACCACAAGCTTTTCCCCCACACAATCCTGCCCAAGGATGCCAGTGACAGTCTGGTGTTGGGGGGTTCTGGCATTATAACACTGCAGACCAGCAGATAATAATTTGCATTCTTTTCAAGACAGCTACTAAGCCCCTGCAAGAGATGGGCTGTGAAGCATGTCAACAAAACATTTTAATAAAACAAAACAAAAAAAAATTATCTCATAGAATTATCCATGATGGATCACAGGAGGCACAAGGCCAGAAAAAGTTACTTCATATGTAAATAAAGGGTTCCTTTACAAAGACAGGACCTGCTTCACAGCAGGCCACAATTACAGTCCATCTGCCGCTCTCTCTTTGCCAACTGTTATTGCTGAGGTGAATATTTTGCATCTCTCAAAAACTTAAGGTCCTCTTAAAAATCTTACCAGCGTGATGTCCCTAGAGGCTGCTGCAGCACTCATGTGCAAACTTGGCTGTCTGACAGAACTACTGCAATCTAGTGCTCGGGCAAACGTACCAACAGACCTGAAAGAAATTAAACAGAGCATTAACTCTGCATGCAAAACAAGCATAAATATAAACACCCAACCAACACTTTTTGAGATCAGCAGACTCCATTTCTCAGTAACAACATTACATGGTTTGGCACCAGTTCTGAGCCAGAGACCAGCCTCTTCAGATGTGGTTTGTTATTATGAACGCTTTACTCTAGTTCATATGACCAAAGAGGCTTAGGCGTAGGAGGGGAAACAGTGAGAGACTCAAGGATCACAAACAGGGAGTTCTGAACTATTCTCTTATCCCCTATCTCTCAACAGAATTAAGTTTTAACAGAAACTGAGCATAAGTGAGCTTTATGAATGGCAAAAATCTCTTCCACTATGGCAAGAGCAGCACCGCATTGTCATCTGTCTCTGTACCTTTGGACAAGACCAGACAGAAAAAAATGCAGTAATGCAAGCATTTTTTCTAAAAGTTTCAGGAAAATTCAAAACAATCTTTATTTTACAACATAATATAGTATAACATATATATATAACATAGCCTGCATAAGAATACAGCAATTGTCAAATATTTCCCAATGCCAGCCATGCCTGCTTGTGAGACCACAAGCCCCATGCTCCTCATTTTATCCCTAAAGAAATTAGCTGGAGAAACATTTAAACAGGACCATCGGTTCTAGTTATTCCTACTCTCCTTCCTGCTTGCTACACCACATGGGTGAAACGCTTGTGCTCCTGCACAGTGAACTGGAACTGAACTCCTCTGAGTGACTACAACAAAAAAGGCGAGTTTTTTGTTTTTTGTTTTTTCTCCACTCAGATCACTTCCCCAAACTAGTTGAGCACACAGAGGAACAAACTAGTGCCAAGCAGTGCAGGAGTAGGAAAGGTAAATGCTTAAGCAGTAGTGGTCATCAAATATCTAGTTTTGGCCAAAATCCAAAACAGCCTCCCCCATCCAAGTTTCTGTGGCAATTCACACTTCACCCTCTCCCCAGCCTCCCAGTCACTGTCCCCATCCCTGCTTCACAACTCCCCCGTCCCCAGCTTTAGCTGAACTGATACTTTTTTTTTCTGTGCATGGCATCTAATTATAAACTGGATCACTTTGCCAATTCCAGGCTGAAGCCATTTTTATACTGATCTTTTCAGTGATTCTCATTACAGCACGCACGCTCAAGCGGCTGTATCAACAAACTCAGTGGGCAGCAGTGAACAGCCAGAAAGCATTACTAAAAACCAGCTTTGCTACCAAAAGCCTACACAAGGTGGAAACCCCCATCACAAAGCAGCTCTATGGTCACTCTAAACCAACCCACGTGCAAACCCCCATCCGCCGGGGCACTTCTACCGTGTCGC